AAATTATTAGTAATTATCGGTTAAGACGGAAAATTGTTGTTTGAAGTTCTGCTGTAGGTGAGGTGACGTGGATGAATTTAAGTGCTCCGCACGTTTCAATTATTGTATGGAGTGATCTCGCGTGGGCGGCGTGACTTACCTGCGAATGTCTTTCCTCTCGTACGCCGACCCTGAAAAAAGTGTCATTGAAAATTCGAACAAAGATACAACTAACTCAGGTAACCGCGCCGCTTGCTAGGAGTACTCAAAGTTTGCAGTGTCTTGCGTCTTGAAAGTTCAACAATGAATTTAAAAGAATATTTTTTTATTTTGTATCAGTTATAACTAATATTAACGGAATTACGTTTACTTTTTTTCAGTGCCATTTTTAAAGTATTACGTTATTTTAAAAATAATGTGTTGCATAAAATGCATTTTTTTTATTATTCGAAAATGTATTTTCTTGATGTCAAATTACAATACATTTACGTTACTGACAACGAATCTCATGAATTAATAAAACAGTGAATTCTTCACTTTTGATGAGATGACAATCAGAGAATGGATTTGCAAAGCAAACTCCGTCGTATTGTTGTCATGAAGTCTGGTGCATTCGAAGAACCGCATCAGTCCGGTGTAACTTGAAAAATCAATCAATAGTCCATATAGACTCGAACTCTTTATATCATATACCTAACTATATAGCTGTGTTTGATGAAGTGTCTCTTTTCAACAGTAATAGCAACTCGTAGAGATTTCGCGGTATTATAAGATTTGTACAATTTGTACCCCAAAGAAAATGTTGAAACGAGTCACTTCATTAAACACTAAGTGAGATTACACAAGGCTGACGAGATTAGAAATCATAGATGTTCAATTTGTGGAATTAATTTAGCTAAAAGCTGCTAAAGCATTACTTAATATTTTTGACATGCATTTCGTATGATTTGGTTATGTTTTTTAGTTTTTTTTTTGTTGCGTCCTGGCCCGTGACTTGTCTCTCAAACGTCCCGTTGAGCGACTTAAGCAATCACCACACTTATTAACGCTGATTCGGCTTGAGCCGGTTCGAAAAAGCTTTGTGTCCATGTAATAAGAGCGAAAAGGATGTTGCGCGTGTCGCTTCCACTTGGATTGCTGAAACGCATAACTTGTTTTCCGCTCTTGTTATATCAAATTAAAACTTTTTCTGACCGGCTTAATGCAATGCCGTTTCGATATGTATGTATGGTATATATATCATATGTATGTATGATACGAACTGCCTCCGTGGCCGAACGGTTACCTTGCTACACTGCCACGCAGAGGTCCCAGGTTCAATTCCCGGGCCGGGAGAAATATTTGTATGGCCTACATTTATTGCTCTCGTGAGTTTGGGTGTAATTTCTGGTTGTCTATGTGTGTGTCCATAGCACCCGCGATACAAGGTTTCCCTAGTGCGGGGCTATGAGTGTGTACGCGTTATATGTGTGGTGATTCCTTTAACGCACCTAAGGCGAGTGAAACACTTGTAAAGTGGCAAGAGTGGGACATCAGCGCATGTTTGTGCCAGGGATAGGCTTGATTGTGAGAAAACATGTGTATTTTATGAGATCTGCTAGTTGCTAGCAGTAAAATTGTAGTTTTGTGATAAATACAATGAAATTGAGAACTTAACATTCGGAACGTGATGATTTTGTAAGCGTTTTTGATGTACGCAAAAATTCAGTGAAACACCGGAATCGCGGAGTATTAATTATATCTAGAGCACTTGAGCCGTGTGACCTGAGCTTGTGTACAAAACAGAACAGTGTAGGGACAAAGTGCGGAGACGCAACACGGAAACTGCATAATAAATAATATTGATACAATTATGAGATTTTAGCGAATTGTATTGGGCCATTATCGTGCTATTTTTGTAACGTTAACTAGGCGCTTGTGTTGTGTTAGTCTTAGTGTAGTTTACTGGGCATCCATCTCCTCTTTACTGCGACACTCCCTCTTAAGGCCACCCTACACATAACTATTGAATGTGAAATGACGAAGTTGTGTTCACGCCTACTAGGTGTCAGGCAACAAAATGTTCCGATTGTCACGATAAAGGAGACCACGCGTGGTGTCTGTCTCAAAGGGGAGATGAATGCAATTTCCAATGAATATCATGTGTAATGAGATAAGTAGTATTTTTATACGGACTCGTCAGGGCGGCACTGCGCGCTTTGGCGCGATTGCGCGTGCGCTGGCCGCGCTGCACGGGGTCTTTGTGTTCATTATAACCACGTCTACCTCAATCTTAGGTGTTTAAGACTGATTGGCATTAATATGGCGGTGGTCTGATCACCAAATAGTAAGTCTGTTGTCTACTAGTTAATCGGTAGCTTCTTTTTAATTAATTACAGAAATTTAAAGTCCAATAATCGTAACGTTTCCTTTAGAATTAGATTCGTAGCATGTAAATGTCGCAGTTTTATCTATATCGCATTGTGGACAACAGCCTCTTTCTTTTATATCACTTGTGTTAAACTTCTGTAATATTGTTATGAAGACTGAAATTTTATAAATGTTCCTATATTTTAGTTTAGAATAATTTACTGCCTACCATATTTTCATTTACATTATGTTTACCTCTCGGTGGTAATAATTACTTTGATTCTATAATCTTATCAATTGTGTATGACGCTATATATGTCATGGAATTTTTGAAATTTTTAATGGAATTTTGTATGAAAAATTAATCAAGTGATTGATAGAAATTGGTGTTTTTATTTTTTACCCTTATCCAAATTTTTCCCAGTCCTCTAGGTATAAGTGAACACGGCAAGAAAGAATTAAAAAATAATCATTCTCCATTGGGCCATGAAATAGGTAATATATAAAAAAATATTTTCACCGATTTTTTTGTATTTTTTTTTGTTCCTGGATTTTCGTGGTTGCAGTTTTATATTTATTTTTAAAACTTGTCGCAATTACTACCAATCAAAAAATAAAAATAAAATTTTGGAAAGGGATAAGGAAGAGAGAAAAAAGGCAAGATAAATGAACAATTAGTACCCTAAGTTAGTACCTATCTATAAATGTAGGAGGAATATAAAATACAGCTACAAAATTATTGACTAGTTGATAGTACATGTATGTTTTGATTATGGACCAATAAAAATAGGCGCCTTGACGTCGAGTTGCGGACACCAGCCCGTTGCACCAAGTACCAAGTACCATGGACCAATAAATTGAGAGGACCACTAATGACGATACAAGAAAGCGTCGTCGGATATTTAGTACCTTTGGGTACACCAGATGTCCCGGCGAGTACCAAATAGTTATTTTTGCAATTTGTAACTAATTTGTTTTACATTGATTGACGAGCTACCGTTTATAAAAGCTACTCTAATTCTCAGTGATATGACGATCGATCAGTATGACGATTTAAGTGTGATTTGCGTACTTACGAAATAAAAATTATTTGGCTTTGACATAATAAAAGGCAATTTTTACCTTAGACTACGGATTCTCTAAGAATTTAACAAACCATTAAAACTAACGAAAAGTAAACAACATCTCTTTGCTGTCAACAATAAATAAATTGGTGAAAAGTTTAAAAAAAAGATTGTGTCAAAATTATGTAAAGTTAAAATTCTCACTGGTGACTTTGTTAATAAAAGTGAACAAGGCAATAACATTTTCCTGTCTTTCTCTAAATCAGGAATAATTATACTACGCTAAGTTTTGATGCACATTATAATATTGATTTAGTCTGGTACAAATTGACAATAAATGATGGGGCAACAGGCAAGTGCGGTGTTTTCTGGGCTAGGTCGCTTCTTCGAGTACCCGGTGAAGCGAAAACCAATTTGTTTCTACAGACAGGAGGACTTCACTGCCACGGGTAGGTATGCCTTTTATTTTGTAAATCTGCGTGTCTAAATATTTTAATTATTCTGGTTATTTCTCTACGAGGGCGTAGCAGTTTTGACCTGACTGCTCCATCTAACGTCTACGTCTCTAGCGCTTAATATAGTGTCTAAATTAGAATTACTGTAATTTAAATGTAAGTTTGTCTCTCCGACTTTTTCCTTTGGGAGAGTGTCCATTAGTCTGCCACGTTGACCTAATGCAAATTAAAGTGTCATTTTTCGTGGCTTTTTTTGCATAATTTAGCATGTACTGAATGGCTCTATTCAGCTCTGTTCCTAAAAACCTGCGACATATTACGGCCATTCTCACGATTCGTGTTCTCAGCCTAATTACCGTAGCCTTTTTTCTTGCTCATTAGACTCAATAACATTGAAATATGAACAACTTTAAGCTAAACTATTAGTATGTGTAAATGGCATTAGAATAGACAAAGTAGTTTTCGAGTTATTATGACACAAATATTTTATGTCAACGGTAATTATAGTCCTTTTGTTTAGGTATTTAACTAAATGTAAAACAATCTTGAGATGTCTATTTAATGAAATATACATTTATACAATTATTTTTATTTACCTTGTAATACAAAATACAAATACTTAGTTTCATATGAAATTGTATGCCTATTTTTAATTCCTATTGATTTGTATAATATAGTTTCATTGAAAAGATGTATCAAGATTGTTTACACTGAAGTACCTAAACAAATGGACTATAGAAATTGTTATATTACATGTTTTGTTGTTGTTACATGAAAGTTTAAATATTTTTAAGAACACATAAATATAAAATTAAAAATTTACATGTTAAATAAGCTTCATTTCGATTTTCTACTCTTTTTGTAATTAATACTAATTAATTTCATCGAAACGCAACCGAAAAAAAAACACGCTGGAACTGCGATAAATACGTCGAGTATCGCGAATTAATTGGCGATGGAGATTTCAGGGGATCACTGATTGTACCATTGAATTGTTCATTCAATTCAGTTGCTGTCATTTTTTCTTATAGCGTTTGTACCATGGTTTGAAATTTATTCTGTTTCGCGTTCGATTTTTTTTAATGATTTTTACATTAATTTCTCAAACTGTTAACACTACTTTTTTTTATGATTTTTTTATAATAACTCTGTGTTGCGGGTGCCATGGACACACACGTAGACAACCACAAATTACACCCAAACTCACGAGAGAAATAAATGTAGGCCATACAAATATTTCTTCCGACCCGGGAATCAAACCTGGGAACTCTGCATGGCAGTCCGGCAAGGTAACCGTTCGGCCACGGAGGCAGTTAAACTTTTCTTTACTCATACCTCTCTTGCTCCTTCTTTCGATCGTTGATATAAAATCGGATTATTTTTTAAACGTTATCACCACGGAAGTGCAGGTTTCTTTTTCCTAAATTTTCTCCTTAATTTTTTTTGTTTTCCCATTATGTTGAAAAATTATTGTTAATTGGCTTGATTATAAGGTCTAGTTATCGGTTTGTATATATATGCTTTATACTGACACGAAATAGTATGTAATATTTAAAACTCTTCAATATTTTCATACTACGGTAATTAGAAAAGCTCGAAAAGAACAGGGACCATTTTCTTAAAAATTTCAAAAACTGGAATTCATGGAAAGTACTCCGAATATCGTAAGCCTTTACTCTGTTTACTCTGTTTTAAGCTGTTATTTCAATAAGCGACAACCACAGACATATATGTCTGTGGCCACAACTCATTTCCTTGAAAAAATTTAATTCACAAACGGGGGAACGGGAATTAGAAAATTCTAAAACCAAACCAAACAAGAGTTACGGTAATTAGATACTTATGTGAATTGCGAGCAAATACGTCGACAATGGTACATTCGCACTATTCGAATACCGAGACACTTCTGATAGCTCGCGATTCAGGCAATAGTGACTTACAAATATTTCCTGGTTTGATTGCGCACTTCGAAAAGGAATGGCGATGGTAATTATACCTTCGGGCCGGACACTCGGATATTTGATGGTAGATTTTAAAAGAATGGTCGTCGTGGTGATTACACAAGCATAATCTTAAATGACACTTGTGTAATCCATTCCGGACTAAAATGAGAAGTAAATTTGCAGACAAATGCGGCGTCCGGATAGGCTACGGTAATTGGAGAACATGGGTTTGAAAAATAAAATAAGTATGATAATTAAGTAGCAGAGCTAAAATCTTAAAAATACCTTTAGATAAAAGTATAAAGTACTTACATAAAAAAAATATTTGTGATTCTGTGCATGCAAAAATTTGCTGTTTTGAGAATGACCGATTACTTTTTCTTACATGCTAAAAATCTTAATGTTACATACAGGGGAGCCGATAAAGAAGCCCACAACAATCGACAATACACCAATGACCGATTATGATAAACTTGTAGAGCTCTTCTACAAAAGACTTGCTGAGCAACGTCAGTTCAATCAAGTACGTTGACGTTACTTCATCATGCGAAACGTAGGTTTCTTTCATACAGAGACTGCTGGAACTTTGACTACATGCAATGTTACGCTTGCTGCACCAATATCGTCGAGTTATCTTGTAGAGGATAACAAACGCCGCCACGCCGCTAGAGCCCACGTAGCGCCTGGATGCAGTCAGTGCCCTGGCAAGCGATCAAAATGGGATACTTAATAATATTTTCCCCAGTGCTTATAAATTCCGGTGTAAATAGAGTAATTATAAATGATGTTGGGCAATAGTCCTTTTACTTCGTGGCGCGAGGGACTAGGCTCTTTGGAGGAATCGCGAGCGGCGCTCGGCACCCCCTAAGGCCCTGCGCCCGTGTTAGACGCACACCACGCACCATAGGCAAAACCGGCGCTGAAAGTAGCACTCTGCACAATTATTGACACCCTTTTTTTGTATAAAAGTATAATAAGTAGGTACTTCACGTAGGCAATTTTATTAAAAGTAACTTTTAAACCTTACATGCATAATTAAAGTCTAAATAAAAAAAATTACGCAAAAGCGGTAGTTAAATATGGATGATACAAATTTACACTCGAATCTCTGAACTGTACGGTCTATTGCGAAGTATCTATCATTGCTGCTGCGACTGCCACGCAGAGAGGTCCCAGGTTCGATTCCTGGGCCGGGAGAAATATTTGTATGACCTACATTTATTTCTCTCGTGAGTTTGGGTGTAATTTGTAGTTATGCATGTGTGTGTCCATCGCACCCGCGACTCAGGGTTTCTCTAGTGCGGGGCTATGTTGAGTGTGTGCGTTGTTATTATTATCTATCCATCGGACAAATCTTTAAAACAATGTTTTGATGCCTTTTTAACTTGTTATGCTCTACAGAGTTTTGCACCGAAACTCGCGTAGGTAATCAAGCTGTGCGTTGCCTAAGTAGATACCTAAACAATGTCTTCTTACATTTAACAATCAGGAGATGAAGGAGCAAGACCGGCGTTGGAGCGTACAGAAGGTGGTCCAGCGTTTCCCGGGATGGAACGAGGTCACCATAGCCAACCTGCACAGCCTGTTTCTGCTTTTTGACAACCAAACTAATGGAATGCTTGGATTTGATGATTTGTTAGTCCATACGTTTGCAATCCTTTGAAATCATTAAGAATAAGTAGGGATGTCGGAATATACAGTTATTGGCATCTTTTCACAGTTGCGCAGATCATCTATACCTACTTTGTAGGCGTGCCCTGTATACGCTAAATAAATAATAATGTACCGGATCGTTATGTAGTTACATCACTGGTTACTTCTACGACCTATTTCATCGAATGTTTTATGTGAGTCGTGTAGATAGTTTTTAATATTGGTTTCTCACATACAGCTGTGCTGTGCTAGAAAGTTTGGGAGACGAGAGCTCGATGGAACAACGCAAGGAGAAGTTTACATCCGCGGACACAGACAACGACGGGTGGATCACTTACGATGAATTTTTATCGGTACATATTATGTCACGTAATTTAAGGTAAAGTAGGTATTTATTTGGATATAATGGTCAGTAGGACAAGATACAACAAGGCTTGGACAAAAGACATACCAAATCCTGTCTTATAAATGTAGGGAGTTGACAAAATTTGTAGTTATAAAATTCATATTTTTCCATTTTCCAATAATACTACTTACACCTGTGCATGTAGTAATGCGTTCATGTTATGTATGCTACAAGTACCCAATAAGAAGTCAATAGTTTGTGTAAATTTTTTTATAATAACAAGTGACGGGACGGAGAATTCGTGCCTATGGTAAGTTACATGCCTGTCCACAACAGTTGCAATACCGCTCAGAGCTTTAAATCGCAAAGATCTGAGAGTCACTGCCACCGCGCCTGTCACCCTGAGACATAAGTTGGTAAGTCCCATGTGCCTGGATTTTCACCAGCACCCTTACCCTTCAAAACCGGAACACAGTAATGCTCACATTACTGCTTGGCGTTAGAAATAGGTAAGGTGGCAGTACTTCCCTGGACGAACCCTTTCACAAGGAGCTCTAAGTGCTGCTACTAGATACTAGGCTGACAACATTTTGGGACAAACGTCTAGGATAATCCTACCCATACCATTCATGCTTTATTAGCTAAAGCTTATACCTACATATGTAGGTATAGATTTTTCTGAATAGTGAATAGTCATTCCCGAAATCTCAGTAAGTTTCACAGCAAACTTCAGGGAATAAATAATACATTATTATATCCGTAGTTGGTGTACAACTTCACTCCGCAAGAGGAAGGTGCGCTAACCGGTCTTGCGCTTCTTTGTAATGACGTCGCTGAAAATATTCAGTTCGTGAGTAACCTCACCGTCGGCGAGCAGCTGGAATATGGCCTCTTTTAGTTTAACGCCGGATATCCACTTTGAAACATTTGTTGTGCACTACTGTGTATCAGGATCCTATTTTTTGACATTATCCAGTGTACTTCGTGGATAGGATCATTCAGAGTTTTCTTTTCTGAAATAGAATAAAAGTGGAACAGAAAAAATGTTCCTACGCAGCGGAGAGACTGCCTCTGACTGAGTGATGTACCTTTTAATGGCTAACAATTTATTTATTGCGTATAAGCAAGTATTTCACCACCATCTCATCTGACGTACTTAATTGGGATGTTATTGCGATTGGAATATGCTTGCCTAGAAGGTGCATATTAGCACCTATGGTTTGGAGACCGTCATAAGAACGCCCGAAACTCCGTTGCATTCCATGATTATTCGCTCATTGTATCGTCAATTTTTGTAGTAGATCATCAGTGCATCGTTCTATGAATCTAGCTGTCGGCCAAGGAACGAAAAATCAAAAACAGTCATCAAAAATTCCTCCACTATCTACTCGCTTCCCCGAGAGTCTACTCCGGATATTTTACCAAAGCACGGGTAAGCTTGTTGGCGGTATAGCTTAGTCAAAATAGGTATTTGATTACAAACAGCCCAAGGGCCTTATAATAGCGTCATGATGGCAAACCAACGGAAGTGAGCAACTCCGACCTCCACAGGTGTATCTACTTTAAATTAGTTTAGCTGAGAGTACATCTTATTGATACCTACTGCTTGTCCCGAGGGACCTACTACGTTGCGTTTGCGTTTCAAACCTTCAAGCATGTGGACAACAAATGTATAATTGTATACCTAGCTTTACTTTAACGTCGTTATTTTATTTGTATAAGGGCTGAATATCGAATTCCGTTTTGTTGTAAGTCAGAGAGTGGCTGTAGTAGGCCCGCTTTTATAAATGTAATAAAGCATAAATGTCTTATAAAATACGGTTTTATTTTTGTACTCTTAATACAATAAGGTTACATCTGCAAAAAAAACTTTTTGAAGAAACTCTGCGAACGAAATTAACCGACAACTTTAAGCTTAATTAGAAGGTTATATTACACGTCATTTGTTTCATGTATAGTACATATTACATATTGTTCGTATTATTTTTATGACTCATGTGGCCGAGGGTACCACTTTATTTACATTGTGATAATAAATCTTGAATATAAATTTTAGCTTTAATTTAAACCGTTGAACAGTTTAGAAAAAGACAGACAGACCTGTTATCATCGCATTTAATTATTATTGAGAAAATAGTAAATTTAAGTTCCTTAATAGAACTAGTGGGAACATAGGAAAATGACAATACAAAAATACTATTAGGTACATAACACATACGGCGCGTAATAGTGAAGTTCCGTCATAGCTCTAGGGCCTTATTCAGCGTGGTGGCGGGCGCGGGTGTGTTTAAACGCACGCCACCATAGATTTAGTATATCCTATACTAAATCTATGCACGCTACACACATTTGATTTAAATCAAGTGTACGTGGACGTTCGTTGCGTTCACAGTGACTGCGCGAATAGATCTATTGGCTCGGTCCGCCCATACCTTTCACAGTGCTTGGTTTAGCGTCTGTTTGCGATTTCGACGTGTGGATCTACACGCTTTTAGCCGCTTCGGCACCGTGAAAGGGAAGACGCCAAGATTCGCGCGCCTGCACTCACAGCCGCGCCCGCGCCTGCACTCTGAATGAGCCCTACGTGGAAAAAAGATATCTAGTAAACATATTAACTAAACTACCGGATAACTCATGTATTTAAGCTGATTTTAGCTCGACATGTTTCGAACCAGTCTGTGGTCCTTAATCCCGAGCTTCTGTAGCGGTGACTTGACAAAACTTGTGTGTCACCCCTCCTGACACCCCTCAATACAGGTGCGGGCGCAGACGACGGCAGCGAACAGCTACTTTCGTTGGCTTCATTCTCATTAAATTAGTATAAGCTAGGCATGGGTTGTCCCTATCTGCCGACCCGAGAGATAGGGTTACCGGATAGACTATGAGTTCGCCGGGAAGACCAGTGTACAGCGGGCGTCCGAGCCAAGCCCTCTGCCAGTGATACGCCTTCACGGGCGTCTCTGGTGGACCCAGACTTGGGAATGGACTCGCTGGGGTTTGCGGTGAGCTGGAGAGATGGACATGTTCGTCTGCTCTGGTGGTGTGTGGCCGGGGCGAGACAGATCTCGCGCGCATCTAGCGCGTTTTAGTAGCTGTCTAGACGAGGGCCTAAGGCGAGGTGACGCGCGGGGCACGTGAGTTGCCCTTTAAGTCGGAAGCTATGTCCGGACATGATCGCAGGACACTGCGACTGACATCTCCGGCACTAACCCGAAGAGCTAGTAGAGGATGAGCTAGATATCCCCCGGTCCCTCCAGCCGCTTAGATTATTGGGAACTCTCTCTGCTTGTGAGGTAAGTCGCACTATGCTACCACGGTTTGATGTTGATATAATTATAGGATTGCATACTACACTATAATACATCATGTTCTTTAAGTTTGTGTTTTTTATCTATCGATAAATAAACATAGCACAGTGTTATTCCTAGACATGTCAAAAGCCTTCGATTACGTGGTACATGACAAATTACTGACCAAATCGGAGAAATATGAAATTAGAGGCATAGCACTGACTTGGTTTAAATCGTACTTACATAACAGGAGCCAATGTGTAACTACCTAGATAGAAAAAACATAATTAACACATGTCGTTCGGATTACACTATCTAAATAGGTTTGGTGTTCCTCAGGGAAGCATATTAGGGCCTTTGTTATTTCTATTGTATATCAATTATCTACCACTAATGACTCAGCATAAATATATAATGTTTGCAGACGACATTTCAATAATTATTAACTCAAAGAATAATAACCTTCCCTATGAAACAGAAATGACAATGACACTTCAAAATCCGTAATATTTATATTACTTATAGGTAATAATTTATAAGTTGTCCAAAAATAATCTAGACATAAATTTGGAAAAAAACTTGATTACATGCTATTTGCAGCAGAAGGACGTAGGCAAATCATCGTAAATGTTAACTATGACGGTAAGGTTTTACAAAAGGTGGATTTTGTTTAAATTTTTAGGCATATTAGCAGATAAAGATCTGACCTTTACGAACCATATCGAAAGTGTCAGCAGTAAAGTAAATAGTTTTGTATAATGTCCTTCGTAGGTTAAGACGTATTACCTCCAAAGAAATTTGTTTATTTGCTTATCATGGCTATATTGCAGGCGTTCTCCGTTATGGATTGATAATCTGGTGTAATGGCAGTTACATCATACGAGCATTTAAAGCTAAAAAAAAATGTATACGCGCAATGTGCCGCATTGGTCCACGGGTATCTTTTAAGCCGCTGTTCGAGAATTTAGGTATTTTGATTCGACCTTCTATGTATATTTACGAAATTTGTAAATTTGTCAAACAACATTTACAATTTTATTATTCAAAAATCAATTGATATTGGCGGGTCCACGGGCGAAAAGAAACCCAAATATACTTGTTTGTGAAAACGTCCCCAAACCTACACTTAACTTAAAAAACTCCTACTATGCTTGAAAATATAATAACTTGGTACTTGGTGTAACGGGCTGGTGTCCGCAACTCGACGTCAAGGCGCTTATTTTGCGTGAAATAAAATATAATAAACTGCCAAATGAAATTAAAAACTTGACTATCCAAAAAATGACAATTGAATAGTAAAATATTTAATTATTAAGAAATATTATAGTGTAAACTTAGAACAATACTTAGAACAATAAATTTTGCATGCTATATATATTGGCTAAATAGATGAACTTTAATGTAACAAGTACCATCTTGTAAAAATAAACATTTCATTTCATTTCATCGTGAAAATTTTTAGGAATCGTGTTTTCACACCATATTAATCAGTGTATTTCCTGAGTTTTAATATATATTTTTTCCAAAGTGATTGATTAAACCATTAAACCATTAGAGATAGTATACACAGACTACTAAGGGTCGTATTCCAGAACTCTACTCAATGCTCAAGTCAGGATTTGAGCAGACTTGAGTATGATTTCAAGCACTGGAAATACGACCCCAATGGCAAGGACTTGAGTATGATTTCGAGTGCTCACTGCAATACTCAAGTCCTGACTAGGAATACGACCAGTGAACTACTATAGTATACTCAATTTTTTTTTAATTTTCACCAATTTGGATAGGCAAAGGTTTTACCATACAGCCTCTTCATAAAAATTTTATCTTTCATTGATATACACTCTAAGTCTCTTCCACTCTAAACACTGTTTTTCGCAATAAATACGTGAGTTATAAGGTAGTTTATTTAGTTAATATTTCTGAATCTCGCGGCAGTCTTCTACTTTAAAAGTACTCGACAACGAAGTTTCTAAGAAGGCAAATAGACTCTTCGGACTCAAGAAGCGTCTTTATACAAACTATCAATATCGAGGATGAACTTCGTCAGAAAAAGAATCCACATCGCTAAGTTCGGCCAAGCCAGGGTCACAAGCCAAGCAGCGTTGGTCGATATAATTCCAACACTCCGTGCAGTATATGAATGGACACTTTGCTGAATAACACATGTGCCATTTTTTCTTTCCTTTGTCTGAAATAGAGCAGGTGTTGAAATATTTTCTATACGGAATGTTTTTTGACAAACGCGCAAGAGGTAAAGCGATATCTGAAGGGCTAGCACGACAGGACGCGACTTGCGCGAGTGCTAGTGCTACAGCTATAACATTGTGGCCAAGCGTGGTCCATTTTTTAACCGACTTCGAAATAAGGAGGTTCTCGATTCGACTATATTTTTATTATGTGCCAAACAATCACATAAATGACCTGTGTGTCCTGTTTATCAAACTTACAAGGCTTGTATTACAAGCATTTTTCCTGGGATTTTTTTTTATTATTACGAACATGCGTTTATCAAAACTTCAAAAAAAAGGACGAGGTTCTCAATTCGACTGTATTTTTAATATGTGCCAAACAATCACACAAATGACTTGTGTGCCCTGTTTATTAAAACTTACTACAATTGTATTACAAGTACTAGTATTTTTCTTGTGAAAATTTTCTTTATTAGCAACATGCGTTATTCAACTATACGTCTAAATTACAGGCTACAGTGTAATTATTTATTTCACAAGTATATTTTTCACATTTATTATCGTGATTTTCTTTCAAAAGTTTGAAAGTATTCTTTGTAACTTACAACATGTAGAAAACCATAGATTTAGTAAATATAGCTTAGACTATGGAACTTACAACATGTAGAAAACCATAGATTTAGTAAATATATTCAATTATATAATTTTTATTATTATATTATATATTCAATTTTGTGAATTATTCGCATGAATTATAATGAAATGGACAAAAACATTGACAGTGAGAACAATTAAGTATCGATTAAAATGCGTCGCTGCGGCATTAAGGGGTGCGGCAGTAGAAAAGACGGAAATCAACCAAATATTACATTACACACGTTAACACACGTGTTAACATGTGTTATTTTTTGTCTATAAATTATACAATATCCGAAATATCTCATGTAATTAGACTCATTTAAGTAGTTTATTCATAAGTCTTGCCGAATTTTGCTTTGGTTACTGTAGATTGCCCGTTTGTTAGTATATTTTGATGATTGTTGATAACGATTATTTTGAGATAGTTTTTTTTTATTATTATTTTTATTGTTAAAGTTTACCTACAAATGAAAAAAGAAAGAATGGTTAGAAATTATAGGATTGCCGAACATAAACATTGGATCAAATATAATCTTCGTTTGTTCGCTCCATTTTGAAGAGTCAAATTTTAATAGAGCTTTGAATGTAACTAAATTACATGATAATGCAATTCCATCGTCGAATTTATTGGTAAATAATTTTATATTTAATTTTGAGTAAACAAGAGACATTGCTAGGCATTCTTAGTTCATTAAAACCATCCACTCGTTTTCGACTTTTCCCCACTGACAACTCTAACATTATATAACATATATTAGATGCACTGACATAATAATTATAGGCGCCCAATAATAAATAGCAGCAGCTGTAATAACTTGTCATCCATATAGTTTCAATGTAAATGATAACTGACAGCGACCAACATGTGGGCAGCTACACAATACTCATCTACAATGGCCGTTTGTAATGCTCTTTTTCAAACTTGTCGAGCGTATAGAAAGCAGCACACTTGTATATCAATTTGCTGCGCTCGCGTTGGCCTAGCCTCTACCAATATGTATTGCAAGAATGCTTGTTTACTCTACAGCCAACACTACAGCCAAATATTTCTAGAATGTTAATTGAAATGCAGAATATGCAGACAACAAATGCTGTTACCAATACATATACATATACAAAACAGCTTAAACTACTTGAAAACCTTTTAACAAAAATCTAATATCAGTTTTGAGATTAGAAATGCATAGAGATCTCCTGATTATAAATTCAAAATAATAATAAAAATAATTAAACATTTTAATCATACTTTGATTACAGTAAACCATACAAATTACAAACATAACAAAAAAAAACAGTTTCAACATTCAAGCCATACATTTGCATATCGATATTGAGTTATCGATGATTATGGTACAACACTAAAGAAATCCGCCATTGTGGTGGACATCTTTTGTTTAGGTAGGGACGTTTATTCCGTAGATAGGGCAGCTCCTTTCCTTTATTTTTTTCTATCCTCTAGGTATATAGGTACTAAAACTATGGGAACATCGGGTATATAACCAGAAATAGAGACGAAATATGCGAAATGTCATTTAATTTGTTTGAAAATTATATACTCGATGTATGGGAATTACTTTGTGGCTTCTTTTTTAAGTTCCCATTTAGAGTAGGCAAAAGACTATATAACCATTCAGCCATACGTAGTCAAAGACTATATAACCATTCAGCCATATGTTTAAGTAGAATTTAATGAGCCAAGGGATTAAAAAAAGTAGCAAAAAAAAATGACGGAATTCTGGTTTCTGGTTTCAGTATAAATCTACAATTAAGCGTTCAAGTTTACAAGTCCTATAGATTTTTTTGATAAACATAATTTCCACCATGTAAAAACATTCTTGTAAAAATTAATAAAAACACCTTGTAAAAAATTGTGAATATGTAGATGTAAGTTTTGATAAACGGGGCACAGCTGCACAGGTTTTAAACTAGGGAATACTACAGGTTTGCTTTGTGTTATGAGTTCCAGAGCAAAATAAAGTATCTATTATTCCGGCAGCGCATCTCGTTTTACTGTATAAAATACGTCCCCGAAGGAAAAATGAATTAAATACGCTTTTCTAAGGGCCTAAACCACTGAAACACCAGGGGTGGCCTTCTTACCACGGCGTGTTTATGCGAAACGTAAAACAGGCTACGGGCCGTGTGAAGCCGCCTTTAGGTAATGCTTTTCGCCAGAAACGCTTATAAGAAAGAGTCTGTGATTCATCTCTTCTTGAGACGTATTGTATACGGAAAAACGGGATACGTCACCGGAATATTTCCGGATCGAACTTGAGACCTACTCACCTTGCGCCTGCAATGCAAACCGCTGGGTTATCGAGGCCGTTATGGTACGTATAATTAAAGTACCATAATACGTACCATAGTACGTATGATTAAGCTATACAGTTTTATTTAATGTGTTATTTTATATAGAAACTCTTCAAAATTACACGGTTACATCAAACTGAACTCCTGTTTAATATCGTCGTTATTTCCAAATGCTAATGCCAAAAGAGCATGAATTTACATCATTGCGATTAGTGTTATAAGAACTATGTACGCACAAACCCCGTATTAAGTTAAATATTTCTAACTTACTGGGTGGATTTCTCGGTTCAGTCTCTCCACAAACCGGGCAACTCATTCTCGCCGCGGGGAAAATCTTTAACCACCCAAGTAGCTGGGGAAACTTCATGCGTAAACTTAGCAAGTTTTCGCCTGTAAGTATATTTTCCTAGCTTAAGTAACCACCAAAGACTTGTGTTCTCTCATGGTGTACATATCGACACAAAGATGTATCAGTGTATAGCCTGTACTCCAAGACATCGAGCTCAATAAACGACATTTTGGTTCTGTGAACAGACTTATGCATACGGTAGTAAAATGTCAAAGTAATTTCAACTTTGATATCTAATTCATACGTTGAAGTTTTGATTAAAAATGACCAATTTAATTTAAAGTCAACACCAAATTTTGTTTGTTGTGTTGGTGATTCGGTTCCACATAAGATTTTTCAATACAAATTTTGCAATGAAAGTTTCTCTTTAAAATGATAATGTTGGCATCTCAGGGAACAGATTGTTCCTAATTTGCAAATTTTGATACCTGAAAGATAGTACGCTCGTACGACTTGCACGGCTTTTTTTCTGAGCGTTTTCTGCATCTTCATACGTTTCTTAAGAATATCGTTGTACAAATGAAGGATGCGCTGCTTTTCGCGACGACGGTAGTACCAGCTGCAAATTAGTCTAAACAAAGACTTATTAATTTAGTTTCACATGTATACATTTTTTCGTCCTAAGATTTTTTTATAACATCAAGTCGTGCGCCTGATGTTAAGCTACACGCCTGTCCGTAACAGTTTCAGTGCCACTCAGAGCTTTAAATTGCAAAGATCTGAGCGGCACTGCCACTGCGCCAGTCGCCCTGAGACGTAAGTTGACAAGTCCCAAGTGCCTGTAATTTCACCAGCACCCTTACCCTTCAAGACCGGAACACAGTAATGCTGATATTACTGCTGGCAGCAGAAATAGGTAAGGAAAGAAGCGAGATAGTAAAAAACAAAACAGTTATTAACACAGAAAATGGGGCTTTCTTCGCACATATGAGGGTTTAGAAATCTGTCTCCATTCTCTAGGCAATAAGTTTATTTGAATTAGCGCGTTTGTGCCTTGCATCCGATTTGTATTCATTTCGAATACGAGAAATGACGGTCCGAAATATCATAGTGATAATTTTATCTCTAGGTATACAAGCTATATTCGAATTTTCTCGGATTCGAATGGGACACAGCGCACAAACGACATCCGAAATGCGCAAACGCGCTAATTCTATTTTATAGTTTCCGATTTATGGTTATGACAAAGATACCTGCTCAATCGCATTGTATAAGGGTTCATATATAACAAGAGTTGTATCCAGAGATATCCTCCATAAATTTTGAGAAAGAAAACAGGAGGCATAAGACTGGGCGCCGGCAGACACTGTCTATTTGTCACTGCATTCCGATAACGGGGCTGCTTCTTAACCCCTTCAATAACATTGCGTATTATCTTCGCAAGGAGACCTGTGCCCTTAACCTAGAGCAATAACTTGATAATAATGAACTGATCTAAGCATAGTAGGTAAGTATAAGATTATATCTTAAGACTGCACCTATACTGTGTGTCTCGAGATAGTATCTCGCGTTCAACACTGCAATATTTAAATCTTAGACTGCTAACAGATTGACTGCATGTTTGCAGTTAATGCGTGAAGTTGTAATCAACTTCATGCAGCTGAGACTACGACTGTATGAAGTTGATAACGACTTTACGCATTAACTGTATGCAGTCGATCTCGGCTGCATGAAGTCTGTTTCAATTGCATGCAGTTATTGCGTCAAGTTGTTATCAACTTCAAGCAGTTGACGTCTCGTATAACGACTTCACGCTTTACTTTACTGCATGCAGTCGAAACCGACTTCATGCAGCCGAGATCGATTGCATGCAGTTAGTGCGAGAAGTCGTTATCAACTTCATGCAATAACTGCAAATATGCAGTCAATATGTTAGCAGCTTAATCTCTGTCGGCGTTTCCGCGTCTCGAGAACAAAAAAAATCAAGATTTGGTGCAGTGTCGAAAATCCCGGGAAAGAGACTTGAGACTATTTCAAAAGTTTCCGTACTTATAAGCTGGGCCTTTAGGCAGTCGAAACACGAGATTTTAATCAAGTTCCTTTTTAACTCAAATTATAAAATGAAAAATTACATAAAAACGTTTTTCATTTATATAGTGGACAGATTACCTATACTCACAAATTATATTAAGCGCCACTGTACAGTGTTGCCATGTCTAAGTAACTAGAATAAAAAAAAATACTGTTGGTTTAGTAAATTTTTAATACTGTCCAATTAAGTGATTTAAGTTTCAAAAGTCTCGAATACTCCCGAGAATAAAAACACCAGTATCTAGTGTCTAGAATGTCATAAAAACGCCGAGAATCGCGAAATTTCCGAGATCGAGGTCCCTATCTCTGACGTATGGAACTCTGGTTATGTCCACTTCATACATTAGTCTATAGTTTTACCTCAACCTGCATATCATGGTGAGCGTCTTCAGCAACGTCCATTTCGGCATGTTGCCGAACTACATCCAGTGCCTCGAAGAAGAGCCTATCCAGCATAACAAAAGTTGTAGCGGTTATCATCTCCAATAAAACTTTCAGAATCTGCACTAATAGTTTGTCGCAGTCTACATTGTATGCTAAGGAATGTACGTCTATGTACTTCCTTCTTTCCATCTAGAAAGATGAATTGACAACATTTATTTCTCTCGTATGAGAATTGCAATATCTGAAGTGTATTCGATAAAGATGCTCGAAAGTCCAAAATATGACGCCACTATCGACTGTGCGCGCTACATCTTTAATTGGACTATACTCTATGTACAGTCAAAGGCAAAAGATACATACCTACCGTTTACAAAAGTTAGTATTATAGAGGTATAAACAAGCAAATATTATTATAATTAGTATTGCCACACTCTTCTTTGTATTTAAATTATTTTAGAAATAGAAATAGAAATAGAAACCATTTATTGTAACGCCACATTATAAAAAAAAAAACACAAAAACAAAGACTAATATAACTAAAACAGAAATAACACAAAGAACAGCGTAAAAACATTTCAACAACAAGTTACATAGTACTATACTGACATGTGTGCGGCTGTGGCGTGTACAAAAGGATCCCATTCAGCTAAAGTCACAACCAAGGCTAGGTTGTGACGCTGGTTTTCAATGGGCCCTAGCCGAGTGAGTGAAAGTGACGGACGTATGAGTCCCGAAACAGAAAATAAAATAAAATAAACTACGTAAATACTTATATCATGGGTGTGTATAGTGTTATTGCAGTGTGTACTCTTATATCGAATAAATACTTACATAATCTTTGCACTATATACATATAGGTATAAGTGTGTGTAGTGTGAAAACAAATCAATAAAATATTTAATACATATTCAAAGTACATTACTTCAAATGTATTAAACAAGATTATCTATTTTCGTAAAATAAAAGTTCTTTGACTTCAACATTAAACAACTCATGTTCTTACGCAGTTACTATAATTATCATATAATGCTATGTGAATTAACATGTTTAAATGTTTATGATTATTAAGTTAAATAAAAATATACAATTAAAATAACGTATCACTGTTATAAATATCATTCCATTATCATATTTTATTAGAAGTAATTCAATTGACTCTAAAAAAATTAAAATAAAAGATATAGGAGAGCAAAATCCGCCATATTTGACACTAGTAATAAGATGTTGTGAACTTGTGATCAAGAAGGAAATATTAACGTAGATGTTTTTATTGTGCTTTGAACTGTAATTTACTAATTTATTAACAAAACTACGAGTCATTATCTGTTTTTCATGAATCTGTTAGCTGCACGGGCGCCGAACGAGTTACGAGAGAAGCGCGGGGAGGGGTCCCTAGCTAACACAATATAACAAGACGCGACCACAAATTAGAAATGTATAGTAGGACGCGACTCGCTCATTTGAAGGCCTAATCTAATTAGGACTAGTGAATTACAATGCGCTATAATGTGCAGTTTTATATACCATTATGCTTATTATTCTAAGCCATTATGTAAGTATAACGATTCAATAATTTCGCTTTTGACTTTTACAAATGACTACTAATTGTATAATGATTAATGAATTACTTGTAATATAACATTAAACTTATATTAATTAAATTGTGTAATATTTAAAAAAAAGAGAAAAAAAATAGATTGTGTTTGATAAATAGGCAGATAATTATTAACTAACATTTACAGGGAAAACGGACACAAGATTAATGTCGCAAAGGTGAATGATTCGCCTGCTTCATACCGCGACCACAGCAATGTTTGCGATAACAGCTGCCGCACACCGACGCCATAAGCCGAAACCAGTGCTGTAAGTGTAAAAGTGAATTGAGAGTGTACTTTTTTGTTTATGTAAAAGATATTTTTTGTAATTGATTTTAAACGTATGCACCGACTTCAGACTACGGAGTGATGGCGGCAGCAAGACGTTCCAAATCTTTGCGGCAGTAAATTGGATGACCTTGGATTCACGTCCTTAACAAAACCTTTTAAGTATATAACCAGAAATAGAGACGAAATGTCATTTAGTACATATGAAAAACAGTCTTCACTCGCTAGAATAAGTAAGTACCTGGTTATCGTCGCTTCACTGTGAACCGACGCGTTCCGCTCGCGACAAGCTGGCGATTCACGTACACTATGATTTTTGGTAACATAACATGCAACAGTTACGGTTACAGCTGGTTAGTGAATACCAGGCTGTATATCAAGGGTACGATATAAGGCTACTCCCTGACGGACTGCAAGCGTGAAGTCGATATACACAACATTATGCCTTCGAAATCGTTTGCAAGCAGCGGATACTGCAAACAATTATCGCCGCCCGCCTAGCTCAGGAGCACAGTGTATTTGTTGAATTTGAAATGGATACTTAAAAAATTCGTAAGAATGTCAATTCTCAGACTTTCCTTCACGTCAACTGCAGCCGACGACGCTTGTAGTTGAACTGCAGACATGCAGACAATCTGATAGAAATTAAATTTAATCTTATACAGATTCTGAATAACTCGTGTGTAATTATGAAATGTCCATGAGGATTTAAGGAGATATTGCGGTCTGTATTTTTTACCGTCGACTGTACTATATCTATCTAGACTTCTTCATAAAGAAAAACTATGTAATTTTGAATAATAGACGGAATTCTAGTCGTTTGTTTGGAGTCTATCGTACGTAAGAGTGCATACTTTCTTCAGCGGTAACAATGTTAACTGTTCCTTATTCCTTCGTCTTTCGTCAATCAACTTGAAATATCCAGTAATGTACACGTTATCAAACTCGATTCGCGTCAGGTATGTGTCATGGTAGCTCCCTGCTGCAATTATGATGCGTAGAAAGAGTAGCGCAACTAATATATTCACTATGTGAATTACTGTACGCATCACTATGTCTTTTTCTTCGAATGCGTGCATCACTCGTTCACCAGTTTCCTTTGCATCCTGGTCGTGAAAAGGTAAAGTTCGATGTTACTTATGGTGGTATACGATTTTACTCGTTGTGAATGCCTTCTGGTAAATTGCTTATCTGGGACCGGCCAATTGGACGAAGCGTAAGTGCTAATTATAGGTATCGTTAGAGGGACGCCGTGATAGCGGACCTGCGCGAACTCCAAGCTGATGATTACCGAGAGACAGAATCTCGTTTCAGAGGTCAAGACACATTTTGGGTTGCACACATTTACTAGCAGTAGAGTTTCTTGTGAGATTTCGACTAGGGAAGTACTGCCACCTTACTTATTTCAGTTCAGCCGCCAAGCAGTAAAGCGAGTATTGCTGCGTTCCGGTTTTAAAGTGCTGGGTAAATTATAGGCTCATGGAACTTGTAAAGTTATGTCTCAGGGTGCAGGGCGCAGTCGCAGCGCCCCTCAGATCTTTGCAGTTTAAAGCTCTGAGTGGCATTGCAACTGCTATGTACAGGCGTACCGCTTACCACCAGGCGCACGACTTGTTCTTCGCTTCACAACTTGTTGTTCCCCTTGGTATCATTAAAAACCACAAACTTTAAATCCTGGCGCCCATTGACGGGATGTCTCGACAGGGAATCCTTCGGCATCCCTACACGCAAGCGCACACTGATGGCAATCATGCCGCGGTATCGGTACGCGTCTAACGCCTAAGCGTCCTTAGGCATGGCGAAGCATTCCGTTGCGACGCGACATCGTACTCGCGCCAGCCCTCGCCCCGCATGGGTGTTCGGGGCGAGGGGATGCATGTACACATAGTCGCAGTTGGCCTTACGGAGCATCCCGAAGGCTGCCGAAGCATCCCCAAGGCTGCCTAGGCACTCCGGAGGCTGCCGACTCGGCGTCCCTAAGCATACCGCAGCTTTATTTTGCAGCTACGATCATTATCATTGAAATTGCAAGTATAGTGTCGTAATGTTAAGGTATATAAAAAAATAATATAAAATAAATAAATAAATATTACTATTCACGTAAAAATCTGTCCCGGCAGTGGGCGCGAGGCTATTAGGCGAATAAAAGACAATCAGAACATGTGTGGCCAAGAGTTGACTAAGTACCTGTATATCTTCCACCTGTTGAGTCTTGTTCAGTCTCCCCTTGAGCTTCACATCACGTTTCATTTCCCTCTTAACTTTTTCTAGGGTCAAGAAGCCTTCTCCTAAACCGGAGTCAATCTAGAAATGAATTTTGGTTAAGTTTTGTCGAGGTAACGAACAATTTTCTGTTGGTTTTCAACCCCTGATGCAAAAAGAGAGGATAAGTTTGAAGCTTTGACCTGATGTCGTCTGTGGCGTCGTATCTCCCAAACGTAGGGACTGATCTCGAAGCGATTTCTTTTTCCGGATTGTTCTTTGCTGTGTTTGATGAACATCTGTACGGCTATTTAAAGATCATCACCCCTTTTCTCCATTACTGTTGGGATCTCAAGCATTTAATGTGTCGAGGAATATCTTTGTGTTTGTGTGTAAGTGGAGGTTCTCAATTCGACTGTATTTTTTTGTATGTATGTTACGCGATTACTCCGGCATTTGTGAACCGATTTTGATGATTATTTATGTATTGGAAAGAGGGTACCTTAGTATTGGTCCCATTTAAATTTGAAGAAAATATCCCACCTCTAAGGGTGCGAAATTAGGGGATGAATCCGGTTTCGCGCACTTTCCGATAACCAATTTCAATAAAACTTGCTCAATTATAGCTATGTAATTCCAAGAACTTTGAGGTTGTTTTATTTATAAAATAGATTACTTATATTTTGCTTGCGAGGTACGATTTATAATAAAAGGGCAAGAGAATAAAGTGGCTGAATTTTTTGTGTCATACTAGTGAAGAAAAGAATTAACATACACGACAATTAACATCACAAACATCAGGTTCCATGTGATTCAAGAAGTTGCAAATTCTTGTAATCTTCATAGGCCAGCAGAGAAACCATGAGGCGAATCGCGGCACTCTGTTCGTACACTGCTCGTAACCCTCTTGGAATGTTTGCACGCAACTGGTGATTGCACGAGAAAGGATGGCTTCGCAGCGGTATTCTAGCTTCCGAAGATATTTCTTTTGATAAATTTTCTCTATATCGTCTTTTTTCTTTATTCTGAAAGATAATCAAAACAGCAGACACGAGTAAAATCATCAACTTAGGCCGTGTGCTGACTTGTCAGTGTGGTAGCGGTGTAGCGGCGGCGGCAGTATTGGTACGCTCGGTATACGCAGCTTAGAATACGCGGTTTGGACACGAGCGCCGCGCCAATTACGAAGCGCACATTGAAATATAAGCGCTTTGTTAGCTTTCGGTACTACGCATACCGAGCGTACCTACGCCGCACTACTATCGCACCGACTAATCAGGAAACGGCCTTAGGATTATAATAAAAAGTAAACTGATCGAACACTCAGAATAAATTCCTTCGATCCGGCCGAATTCGATCCGACGTCTTCTAGCATACCGTGCCAGACGCTAGGTATATCAACTAAGCCACGGAACGAACCAGCAGACTTCACGAATTTTTCTGTGTTTGTTGTCGTGTCTTTGTATTTGGCTTTTTCAACGACTTTTTTGCCGTAGCGCCATCTATGAGAAATCTTAAGTATTTCCAGCCCTAGCTAGAGATATCGCTATTAATTGTATTTTATTTTTTATGTCAAATTACTCCACTAGTTTGTTATAATTATTAATACAAAGATCGAACACAGAAAAAAAGCCTTCGATCCGGCCGACGAGATACTTGAGATTTCTGATAGATAGGGCTACGGCTAAAAAGTCGTTGAAAAAACCAAATACAAAGACACGACAACAAACACTTAGAAAAATTCGTGAGGTACGTCGGTTCGAATCCGGCCGGATCGAAAGATTTTTTTCTGGGTCTTCGATCTTTGCAACTAGTGGAGTAATTTCACATAAAAAATAATTGAATATCAATTCAATAAAATTTAAAAAGTAAACTGGTTATACACTCTGACTTTTATTTGTTTGAAAACAAACATACGCGATTTTAGATCCGAAAAAAGGTTTGATCTACAATGTGTAGCAGTCGCGGAGACCTAAGAAATCGATATAAATAACTCTCACTGTTAACAAAATACCTATAAGCTTGTCATAATTAACACATTTTTTGCATTTCGGTAACTTACGAGATATTGGCACCTAAAGTTTTTTTCCTAGTAAAAAATGACAATTACACTTATGATTATGGTTAAGGGTCGATCTCGTCTCAGCCCGAATTAAAATTGTTTCCCGTATTGAATCGGTTCAATTGCGCGGGTCGAGCGACAGATACACTGGCTTTATTTCAGAATTTACTTTTTTACAAACAAAGTTAAAGCCATTTGAAAAATGTATATCGTATGCTTTACGTGTTCTATTTAGTTCAGTTGATATAAAAGAAATCACTGGTATATATAAAGTATCTATTGAATACAGAGTTTTCTTGTAAAATTTCGAGGTACGCTTGTAACTTTTTTTCTATCGTTACAATTTTTAAGAATCGTGTTTTCACACCGTATAGTAATCAGTGTGTATCCTCAATTTTACTGTATATTTTTCCAAAGTGATTGATTCAACACTCACTGTTATGCGAAATCTACCAAAGCCATTTGAGGTTATTATTAAAAATGGAACGAAATAAGATATTAAAAAAACCGATTAAATGAGACCCGCTGATCCCGGATATACAACTCGAATTTCGCTAAAAAAATCGATTACGTTAGTTAGGGCAGGGAAGGCGGTAATATTATAATAAGTATGTATTAAGACAAGTAGTAGAACTCCCGCCTGTTTGGCGCATCAATATTTCGCTCGGTGCAATAGGGTTGTCACATTATTATTTTAGTTGTACCTACAGGTTATAAAGATAATTAAAAAAAAAAGATATTCATTACAGTACCCTTCCTGCTATACTGAAGTCCAATGCAACATTAACACGTTGATATGTTTAGATCAGTATTAGTATCTCGACAATGTGAGTGTAATCATGAAATATAAATGAAATACGAGTTTGTATATACATAACGATACATTTATAAATAAAAAATTATGAATTTGACACAGAAAAATATTTTAAATGTTTTAAACAGCGATAGAACGAACTTTTCCTGTAATTAAAAGCGCGTGCGACTCGCGCTGTGCAACTCGAGTGCACCGCGAGATTACTGCTGCTACGTTTGCATGAAGTTAACGACTTGTCTTAGAATTTTAATTTTATAATTTTTTCACAATGTTTTTACAGTCACTAATTATTTTATTTTTGTAATCTACATAACATTCGCGTCGATACTAACACAAAATGCACACTACATTAACTTCACAATGTTTTTTCTTTTAGTGCATTGTAACGCGCTACCCTGGAAGGTGGTGGCTGAAAATCAGTGCTTTGCTTTTGGGCAAATTTTGCACTGACCCACGAACTTATTGGCTTGCTACAGCACACACAAGCTGTTGATCACTAGGTTAGTATAATTTCTCTTTAATTAAATTTTTTGCCGTTTGTTCTCATTTTAATTTCTTTAATTTTGATTTCTGTGTTTCTCTTTTAATCCATTTACTGTATTATATTATTGTGTGTGTGATGCAGCACAATAAACATTTTATCTATCTATCTATGTATCTTATTAAATTATTATACTACGCTAATATAATAATATGGATTACTTCTTAGTGCAATACAATACGAAAGAGCATGACGTTATCAAATAAAACAAATTATGTAATTTCACTTACTCGTACTTAGCGTCTATGTTTCCAGATCGATTAACGCTGAGTATGTAGTCGACGCCCTGGTTAAAGTCACGGCTCAAATGTATTTCCTGATCAGCTAAAATCTCTTGTTCAATTGGCAGTGTTACTTCTTGGAAGGACCTATGTTTAAATTGGAAACTTTGAGTAGTCTTGCAACCTGAGAACCTCTACATCACTAGTCGAAAATTCAGTTGCATGGTACCGCGATTTAATTTAACTAAGGTAAACGATTATTTTATTGTGAACTGTGTGTGTTTTTGATTGTGATTGAGTAGTGATTCCGGCGAATTTGTTAAGATTATCATTTTCGTAAGTTTAAAATCTGCATTAAAATTAAAAGTAGGTACTATAATTGAAAAGACATGTTTGTAATTGAAGACTACGCGTTAGTTAAAGATGTATGGAAATTCGTGGTAAATTCCATACAAATTTGATTCAAAGTGCATTCTATAGCATTTAAGTTTATTTGAAAAGAGCAAAAGCCTAGAGTTTCTTGCTCGTTCTTCTCAGGGAAGTCAGCACAGTGAAGTGAATGAACAACCGCTTCAAAAATTACGTTTTGAAGTATAAATTTATTTTACCTATGGAATAAATTATTTTTTTACTTTAATGTACTGTTTACATTTAGGCTCAATTTATATTGCGGCGGAACGGGATGGAAGCGAATTTTTGTAACGATATTGTACATAGCATAATGAACTTTATGGTCAATTGTGTAACGTACAAACTATATACGAGCCAAAATCTTCTGCGGAATGCGCGAGCATTCTCGAGTATGCGTATTATGCAGTGTACAATATCGTTACAAAAATTCGCCGCAATATAAATTGAGCCTTACTGTATCTAAATGTAATAAATATTATTATTATTAATCTAAAATCAGGAAGTAAAAGAACCACAAAAAATAAATAAAAATAAAAGGAAGGGAAATTACTAAACCTGAAAGTATCTACTAGTTCTAGTATATCAACATCCAAATCGACAATGGCTTGCTTGAAAGGCTCGCTCAACATGTAATATTTCGACTTAGTCAGGTTGGCCGATAGCTGTGTGCTACAGGCGAACACTCGAACCACTTCCCTCGCGTTTAAACACATATTCTTTATTGGACCTTGGAAAAAGTTCAAATATGCTTTGACAAGTTGAAAGCACGCGAAAACCAAGAAAACTTATTGGCTTTCTGGTATTTAGCGATTGTAAACTTCATATTATACTTCAAATAGAAGCTGAGTATAAGAATGCTTCTTAAGGTTCTTTTTCACCAGGAAGGAGACAAAGATTGAAATTTGTATTGCAAAATTTCAATTATCTCCTAACGCATCTTCGGTAGAAATTATGATTGACGAAGATGTGCGAGACGAGAATTATAATATTTGTTGGTGTAATGATGCTTTTCCATAGGCAAGGCGAGATGAGGATTGAAATCTCACCGGCGGCCTGTCCACCAAAAATTGTCATTAATATGAATTTTTAAATTACGTTTTTCTGCAAATAATTTTAGGGTCGTATTCTAGAACTCTACTCAATGCTCAAGTCAGGATTTGAGTATGGTTTAAAGCACTCGAAATCATACTCAAGTCCCTGCCATTAGGGTCGTATTTCCAGTGCTTATGTTTCCAGTGCAATCCTGACTTGAGCATTGAGTAGAGTTCTAGAATACGACCCGTAGAGTGCCCAGCAATCGAATTTTTAAAATTTATTAACCAAGTCATTTACGTATGGGAAATGTTTGTTCTTTTATTTTTCAAACAAACCAACGTTTCGGGCTTTATAAGTCCCAACCAATTTACTCTATTGGTATTTTTAAATATTTTAATTTTACTAAACACAACCTCAGCGCGATCTCACGATGTCAATTAATATCAATCGCGAGCTTGCGATAGCTAATAATGACAATTTTTGATGGAAATATGGGCCGACGATAACTTTAATTCTCGTCTCGCCTCGCCAGTGGAAAAGCATCATTAAACACTTATTTTCAAACAACTAAATAAAACTTTAAGATTCTGACAAGTTACCAAAGAAAGTTTATTTCATACTATTGTAACAAATGCTCCATTTCTGTTTATAGCTAACAATACTTGACAATTTAGCAAAGAACGTTTATAGGAAAATGAATAACAACATTTAATCTTTACCCGCAATCACATAGGTCAGCACTAGCGCCTTCAATACGCCACGCCCCGGCTTCCCGCAGTACATAGGAATAGTTAGCAGGCATATACACCTCAATTGTCTACACATTGTATTGCCTATACCTAAGACAAAAATAAGAAAACACTAAAAGGTAGTATTTGAAAATAATTATAATGTGTTTAAATTAATACAAAGAACGAACACAAAGAAAAATTCTTTGGACCTGGCAGGACTCGAACCAGTATCTATGCCAAACCAGGGCCACCGCTCCACAGAGTTTTTTTGTATAATATCAAGTGACGAGACGAACAAGTCGTGCGCCTGCTGATAAGCGACACGTATGTCCATAAAAGTTGCAGTGCCACTCAGAACTTTAAATCACAAAGATCTGAGGGGCACTGCCACTGGCCCGACACCCTGAGACATAAGTCGACAAGTCTCTCTTACCCTTCAAAACTGGAACGCAGTAGTAATAACATCACTGCTTGGCGGCAGAAATAGGTAAGGTGGCAGTACTTCCCTGGACGAGCAGGGAATAATAACTCCACCTGCTATAACCTTATGGCTCAATTTACATTGCAGCACAACGGACTGGCAGGTAATTAGTGTAACGAAATTGTACATAGCATAATGAACTTTACGTTTATTGGGTAACGTATAAACTACATAACATACTATACGGTAGCTCCGGGAATTCCTAAGACTGTGTGAAAATTCCACGGGAGACGTGCGACATATTTTTGGCTCGTATGGCCTGTACTCTCGTTCTTCGTCTGACATCCGTTCGAAACAATACTGTCAAATAAGTAATACACGATCGAATTAAAAGATGCAGGATGCGAATGAAGCTTCATACTTGATGTTTTCTTTTAATTTCGCGGGATATGACAGTAATTGTTTCGGGCGGATGTCGGACGAGAGTAAACCTCCTAGTTTGTGCATTACGTAAATTGACAAGTTTATTATACTATTATTACAAAAATTCGCTTCCATTCAATTCCGCGGCAATGTAAGTTAAGGCTTATAACAGATAAAGTGTTTCATTATATTCTGGTCTACCTACTAATTAAAATTGTTAAGAAATAGGCAATAAGCTGTATCAAATGTTTGAGAGAGGATACCGACACCTGTAACACAGGTTATACCTAGCTCAGCAGCTCGATTTTGATTGCCTCTCCCGATCGGAAACTGCATCTTTTCCGAGTCGAGGCGTATAAAGGTATCCAAGCTATCCACACATATCCCGGCCGTGCTCCGTCAGGGGCTCAAAAAAATATCGTTGCGTATATTTTGTATGAACTCGTTCACCCATGTCCGTGTCCGGGACGGGCCCGCAGTTCATTCAAGCTAGCACGCCTCGTCCACGTCCTGGGCACGGCCCTGATGTGTGTGGATAGTCCTTAATTGCGACTCACAACTGGCCGATCGGAAACTTTGACATTTCTAATCGGAACAATAGTTGATTTAACTCACAAATTAGAAAGATATAGTAGGAAACTGGTTCTCTTCTCTCTTTGAAACCCATCTGATTTCGAGACTACTCGGTCGGATCGATTCCAATTTGAAAAAAATCAGGACGCAGGTGTCTGGGACTTCACTACTATGTTGTAACAATAAACATTATTATTATTACTTATTGTTCCAAAAGCAAGTACTTTGGACAAACGCCATTCAAAAGTAATGCTTCTTCAAATTAGGCGCTTGTACAAGCGCTGCAGTGGCGCGACTGTGGCACAGCAACCGCGAGAAGTTTATTAATTATGATTACAAAAGTGACGCGCGCGATTCACGACAGTAGCGCTACAACTGCGCTTCTAAATATTGTATGCAAAATTAGTAGCGGCGCGCGGCAGCAGCGCCACAGTGGTGCTACTGCAGCGCATCTATAAGCGTCGAATTTGAATGCGATCGAAGTCCCTCGAGACTAATAATATCTTGTTGTTGTCTATACTGGTTCAAAAATAATACTCCCAGTAATATTACTAAAAAGGAACACAACTTTAAAGTTACTTACCTAAAAGTAAACCTATGGTCATCATCAAACAGTAGTGCACGTACGGAGGAAAAGGTATTTTAGTAAGCAAACAGTAATAGTAAAGCGTTCCCAATAGAAAACCACCCAAGAAACCACAAGGCTTTGAAAAACATTTTCTTGTGAACAGATAACTTAATAGCGATAGAGGAGAAAATAAACAACTCAATATTTTGTACAGAATGTAGCGGACACAGCGGAATAAAGCTCTAAATAGTATATGTATAATGCACATGTTGATGTACACGTTTCGTAAAAGCGGCTCATAATCACTTTCCATACGCCAGTAAAATATTTTCTATTTATGCGTTGAATAAAAAAATCTTATTTTATACACTACTACTACTTATTTTATACTAGGTCAGAGCTTCCTTCGGCTCCTTCATATATTCTTAAATTTTCCTTAATGGAGGCCACTATATAGGCTTAAGTCAGTGTCAGTTGCGCCAATGTCATTTCTCGTCAACCACGAAAAAAATATAGATTTCAGGACTATGGACATTGTTGATCTAATATTATTTTATTCAATGATCTTTGTATTTGTTAGAAAAAAGTGTTTCCTAAACACTTTTTTATTGGTGATCTCATTGGTGACTATAGTATGTAGATGTTTTGTTGTAGATTCTCATCACACTAAAGTCCACCATCGAAAATCCGCCAAGCGGTAATATGAACATTACCGCATTCCGGTTTTGAAGGATAAGGCTCTGGTGAAATTACAGGCACATGGGACTTGTCAACTTGTCTCAGGGTGACAGGCATAGTGGCAGTGCTCCTTAGATCTTTGCAATTTAAAGCTCTGAGTGGCATTGCAACTGTTATGGACAGGCGGGCGTGTAGCTTACCATCAGGCGCACGACTTGTTCGCACCGTTACTTCATATTATAAAAAAAAATTAGCGGTCAAATTCCGAGTTATCAACGCTGGCGGAATCATTGATTGTATTGATATTCAACTCTAGTTGTGACCCCTGGGGGGCTACTCTCGATCTCCGTCCGACATCCGTCCAAAGCAATTACTGTCAAATAAGTAATATTCAACAAAATTAAAAGACAAGTATTCAGTATGAAGCTTCATTCGCATCATGCGTCTTTTCATTTGGTCAAGTATTGCTTATTTGTAATGGGCTTTCGTAATTCGTAATGGGCACCCCCAAATACCTCGAAAACGATCCCCAACTTGCTATTATTTGAAAAATCGTGCCCGCCATCTTGGATTTACATATAGTGCCATATTCACATTGAGCATCCCCAAATACCTCGAAAATGATACACATGTAAGTCAATGCACATATAGCATTTTTTTGAAAAATCGTGCCCGCCATCTTGGATTTAGAAATGAGTACCACATTCGTAATGAGCACCTCGAATACCTCGAAAATGATTCCCATATTGCATTTATTTGAAAATTCGTGTCCGTCATCGTCTATTCAGATATAAATGCCATTTCCATAAGGATTACCAAAAATAAATTTTTGAAAATTCGTGTCACTTGACATTGTCGATCGGCAGTAACGATCGACAAAACCGAGCATATCTGTAGGCACCTGATCGACATTGTCGATCGACAGTAACGATCGACAAAATCGAGCAAATCTGTAGGCACCTGATCGACAATGTCGGGCAAATCTGTAGGGACCTTTAACTTAATGATGAGTTAAGCAAGATACAATTTCCCCACTTTTGAGGGAAATGTTATTCCATGGCATCATTATTTGTATATTTGTGTGCGTGCCGACGAGCGTAGTTACAAGTTGCTTACGCCTACATGAATTTGGTTTTTGCCTCACTTGTGACAGTTCGTTGGATATGAAACTATCATTCTATGCGTTATTATTCTAAGGCTTAAAGGTTTCCCCCCGTCAAAAAAAAAGGACCATGAAAAACGTATAGTGGTCCAGCAAACCTGACGTCAGAATGGCTGCCACTTTATTTCCGTTAGCGCAAAGGTAGAAAATATGTCAATAAATTTACTAAATACTGGAAAATAGGTAGTATATAATGTGCACAATTTTATTTGTATATCTCTTGCTCGAGGCATGCCGACGGACACGTTAGTTTGCGAAAGCACACCCCGGACACTTCACACAACGCTGGAAAGTTAGTTACCTACTACTACATACAGCAAGGCGCTATCTGCAAACGCGCAAATATGTGCGCGAAGTGGCAGGGTTACCCATCACTATCTCGTACTATTACCACTATTACGTTACGTGATCAGAGCGGCAACATACCGAAAATTCTAACGCGAATCTGACAACTATAATTCTATTAATAGAATCGTAATAATTACACATGTTCATTAAGTATTTATATCGACATAATATTATTTTTTCATTAATTCACTAACTAGAATAATATTGAAGATTTATTTTAAAAATATATTAAAAGTACTTTGAATGTTATATTTTGGACATATACTTTTAAATAAGGTAACTAAGGCATTTGAAATTGCGCGTCCAGGTTTAGCATTTCCAAGTTAATAATTAGGTATATTCACTACGTAATATTTATCGGCAATTCAAATTGAAAATTCGAGAACCCTTGTCTACTAGCTCACAAAGTTATGGCATCTCATTATATTGACATAATAAATCTGTATTATGTATTACTCTGCACTAAATAAACGAAAAAATCTATAACTTAATGAGTCTTAGACAAGTCTTTTTTACTTGCTTTGTTTCATCTTTCGGAAAACGAAAGACATTACTCTCTTTATCCCGTTTAGATGACGATAAACAGCCGTACACAGCATTATTCACATCCATTATATATAGTAACGTAAAATGATGTTATTGGTGTTATTAACGTACAAGTTTCATAATGAAACTATATTTAAATATCAAAGTCGTCTTAACGCGAAAACGTCTCGGCGACAGCCTTATTACCGTTTAGTGAATGTGACCGTCAATGTCTGGGGTGTGGTGTGGTGTCTAAAGCCAGAGAGAGGCGGAGTGTCCGTTCTCGTTACTTTTTTGTTCTCTGGCGGAAGTCCATGTTAATAGGAGTAAATTTATTTGCTACTCCGCGAACCAGCGTGGGTTAAAATAAAATTTCTCTCTGCATAAAATTAATAAAACAAATTACACGAGCGCAACTACAGTCACAGATACCACCATCATAAATAAAAATGTGGCTCTAGTGAAAAGGGGGACAAGTAAAAAAAGCCAACTTTAGAAGGGACATAACATGATATTAAGCGTTAGGTGTTTTTCGTATCCCTTTTCACTAGAGCCACAGAAATATACCCGACACGTGTTTCGCCTCTCTACGAGGCATCCTCTGGGGTTGTCGATTGTTCGACTTTCGGCCGAAGATTTCAGAACAAGCGTAGCTATTTTGCACGATTTAACCATCACGTGGTTCGCAGACTAGCAAATTAATGTACTTCCTTTTCTATTTTTTTTAAAGAATACAAATAATTAATTTTCGATCATTTATTAGTAATTATTAGTCTTACAAAATTCAATATAATGTATAAGAGAACTTAATGGCATTTTATCCGAGAGTTAACAAAATTGTCTAACCAATCAAAGTCAGCATTTCAAATGCCACAAAATAAACGGGCTCCATCACGACTTGCTAACTACATGCTTTATCTATCTTTGAGTACTTAATAACGTTGGTAAATAATATCATTGTAGGTATGTTAAATAAAATAATGAACTATTTGGACTCTGTATACTTTTTGTTGACTGTTGGTTCCACTAGTGGATTCAAAAGGATTTTCAAGTGCTGTTCCTATTTGGGTGGTAAAACCAACAATCTGAGCATTGGGGCGCCTTGAAATTACATGCTTGTAGAGCCTGCAATGTTGCGGCAGTCGCGCCGCTACTGTGATATTCGTACATTACCTAGTCTGCATAATCGCACTACTAAAAAACCTACCCGAAATGTTTGTGGAATTACATCCCTTTGCCTTTTATTGAAATCGGTCACCGGAAAGTGCGCGAAACCGGATTCATCCCCTAGTTTGCCACACTTAGAGGTGTTATATTTTCTTCAAATTTAAATGGACCACTACCGAGATATCCTCTTTCCAACAAAAAAGAATCATCAAAATCTGTTAACGGGTAACATACATACAACAAAAAGACGTCGAGTTGATGACCTTCTTCTGTTTTTGAAGTCGGTTAAAAATAGTGGCTCTGCAGCTATAGAAGCAGTATTATATACAAATTAGTAGTTGCGCGGCTGCAGCGCCACTGTAGCACTTCTACAAGTGTCTGATTTGAAAGCGCCCTTACTTAGTATATTTTTGTATGTAATATAATTTCATTGATGTTTTTTTTACAATTCCTAAACTATCAAATAGAGGTGTTACATAAATTGAAGCACAAAAATAACGTGACAACTTTATATAAGACAGAAAACTATGGTGGCCACGCACGGATTAAGGATTAACTGAACAAAACTAACGTATCATTTCTGTTACACACCACTAAACAATATAATGGCAACACTACAATGTGATATCAGTAGCTAGTCAGTTTCATCCAGCTAATTAAAAATCCGACTTTATATAAACATCCTTGCATGAAACAAATGTACAGGATTATAACAAGTTCATATTTTCCTATAAAGGTCTTACAAAGAGGCAACCATTATCATTGTAAATGCATTGTACTAAAACACAAACGATGTTCAATGAATTTCTGCTATAGATATATATGTATATATAATATAATAAATATGCAAGTCCTGAATGGGCGGAAACATAATATGTGAAGCGCGATCAGCCTTATTTGAAGCGGATTCCGCGGTGATTATGCGAGTGCCGTGGGCGGATTGCCAGAGGTGTCTTCGTTCACTTCCGTTACCATCGGTTCTTCTTCGTCAGGGATTTCTAGAATCTTCGGCCCGTAGAGTAGCAGGTAGGCGCAGTGCCAGTCTCCTGCGAAAGAAATTGAAATAATAAGAATAAGTAGAGACCACTCCTTGGGTCTAGTTAATAGGCTAGTGCGACTAAGGCTAAACAGTAATTTTCTCGTAAAGGCAAGTGATATATCTGTTCTATAATAGGCGTATTCTGCCGCCCACTAACGAAAACGCGACTAAGTGACAAATGGTCAAATATCCGATTTAAATGAGCACAAATTTATCTTTTAACAACAGTTAAAATTAGTTACCTAGTTCGACTTATCGGAACTTACCCTAACCATTCATTGAATAATATTCTAAAACTAGGTTATGGTTTTTTATGATATCTCAAAAAATATTTTGTCACTTAGCGTACGGCAGTATTGTGTCACGCAACATACTATCGCGACTGATTCAAGTCACGTCAATACGTACCCCCCAATGGGGGTGATTCACGTAATCAAACCTTTACGATGTTTTAGCGATTCAGTCGTTGAACTGCGTTTTCGTATTCACGTGTGACAGTGAACGTCAACGAGTCCAATTTTAAAGTCGTTCGATCCAAATGTCGTTAAAGGGTATTCTGGTATATGTATATATCATATATATAATTCGACTCTAAACGACAAGTCATACGTATTCTGCTAAAACTTTGACAGTTCTTTCAATAGACTTTCGACGACTAAATGTCAACTTTCACAATCCAAGATGTCGTTCATTAGTCGTTACGTTTCGATTCTACTCATATAAACGTTGGTTCAAGTGATACGTGAATACCCATTTTGGATAGGACTTCGATCGAACGACTACGTATCTTCAACGATATTTTGATAGCTTGAACTTACGTGAATCGCACTACTGGCCTAAATATAACAACCCACCGCTACCGCTAGGTTGGAGCATAATCTCTTCAATGACAGCAATGACAAGCGTGGCATGTCACATCGACATTCTACTGCAACTGACCCATACTACGTACTGTACTTGCTTAATAATAACATATGAACACAAAGTAACATCGAAGCCATTTATTGCCGCGACTGATTCATGTCACGTACTGTTGTAAATTATATAACATTTAACCGCTACCGCTAGGTTGGAGCACATCTCTTCAATAACAGGTGTATCGCGTCACAGCGACATACTATCGCAACTGTATATGCCACGTACAGTATTCCTAAATCATGACATCTTACCTCCTCCGCTGAGTTTGAGCACCTCCTCTTCAGTAACAGGTGTAACGGCGTCGTCGTCGCATCGCAGCCACGTACTGCCGCGACTGACCCACGCGACGTAGTGTCCCGATGATGAGGACCGCCCGCGGTGCGTCAGTACTGCCTGGAGACGATAGTACCCGCTGTTGTTGCTGCCTATGTCTGGATAATCAAAAAATTGTGTTGTTTTTACGAGTATATTGATGTACAGTTGGACTTTCAATTAAAGATAGTAACCAAACGTTTAGCGGGTTGGTAGTTTTTGTTCTCTTAAAGGATTCAAATAAATGAAATATATTTTTTTTCACTTTACAAAATTACAAACACATCACAGAATAGTAATGTATCACAAAATAAGCTAATGTACAATAAGAGGCCATATTTTAACTGCCTCAACGTGGCCGAACGGTTATCATGCTAGTCTGAAAAATATTTGTATGGCCTACATTTATTTCTCTCGTGAGTTCGGTTGTAATTTGTATGTGTCCATGGCACCCGCGATACAGGGTTTCCCTATTGCGGGGCTATGAGTGTGTGCGTTATTTATTTATTTATATAGCTAATTTGCATATTGATACCAGGCAACTTTGGAATAGAAAGTTAAAGGTTGGAAAGAGGGTGCAACCAAAGAATATTATATTATAATGGAAGTGTTTCAAATACATATAGCATACATTGAATACTAATCATCTATAATAGTGCATAATAATAAAATTTACTTTTATACTTTTCTAGGAAAAAAAAAGAAATTAAACATTTCGTTTTTTTACGATACGTAGTGATGGGACGAACAAGTCGTGCGCGCCTTGTGTGTGGTAAGCGACACGCCTCTCCTGACAGTTACAATACCGCTCAGTTTTAAATCGCATCTGAGATCTGAGGGGCGATTCTACGGCGCCCGTCACCATGAGACGTAAGTCAAAAAGTCCCATGTGCCTGTAATTTCACCAGCGCCCTTACCCTTCAAAACCGAAACACAGTAATGCTCATATTACCGTTTGGCGGCAGGAATAAGTAAGGTGGCACTACCTACTTCCCTGGACGAACTCGAGCTGAGGTATTGTAGAGTCTTAAGGCACTTCTATTTTTTTTTTGAAGTTTGAAATAAAGTATTTCAAGATAATGCTCACCATCTTCAAACCAGTAAGGCAGCACTGCCTTCCTTTTGCTCTCTTTTTTATTACTGTCACCGTGGCTCTTATTTCGCACGCTGAGCGATGACTCCACGTTGGCGTCTTCCAATTCCTACAAAATAACATATATTCAATACAGGTCTCCTAGTACGGACCAGTCTCTCACACAGACTTAATGATGTAACAGTATTTAGATAAGTCAGTATTGTAATATAATTATTGTAAGAGTTTGTGAGAGATAATAAAGATTTGTTATTTATTATTATTATTTATTGATACAACTTAATATTCCATTGATAGGTGAAATTGCGAACACTTTGCCTTACATTAGGTCCTACCTACTACCGTTGAAAGTTAGAGCTGGGAACGCATTGCTTTTCCAGCAAATAATGAGTTGCGTGTCTTAATGGAACGTACACTACTTAGTCGCGCAGATACTAGCTTACAAGTCACACTAGAGTGTATTTGTTTTCAATTTCGTTGTGCATGCGCATGCGCAATGCATTCTGCTTCCGAATACTACAAATAGTGACATCTATTAAGAACAGCAAGGCAAGGTGATAATAGGTGGGTTTTGCAAGATGGGTCGACGACATAGTACGCGTCGCTGGGCGTCAACGGTAGCACAGGACCGTAACGGATGGCACAAACTTCGGGAGGCCTATGCAGTGGGTGAAATCAGGCTGTGGATGATGATGATGATGATGATGATGATGATGGAGAACAGATGATTCGGTTAATGCGCGTGCGGGCTGTAAACGTATAGCACAAAAGGCCTAATTCATTCGTCCAGGCCATATTTGGTACCTTAAATTTACTTCTCATAGGCGCGAGTCGCTCCTGCAACTCAGGCGAACAGAGCTCATACAAGTCAAGGTCGAGTGGGAACTTCACGTCCTTGAGGATCTTCGCGTTGATCGCTTCCTTCTCCTTGTAATAGAACCTCACGAACTGCACGGTGAGGTATGCGGGTAGTCGACTGATTTTACACTGTGAACATGCATTCAAAATTCTAATGGACCATACAGACTATTTAACAACAACAACAAATTAATAACGCACACTAAAAGATCTGCAACAAGCACACAGAGAAATTCGTAAGGTCGGCTGATTTTAATTTCGTAGCTCAGTTGTGAGAGCTATGGCCAAGGTAAGGCGAAGGCGCTGGTTCAAGTCCAGCTGGATCGCAGGAATTTCTTTTTATGCTTGATCTTTGTGTTGATTATTAAATATGTAACATATTTTGCAGTGGCGACGCGTGAAAATTTTCCTTGGCAAAGCCAGTGGCGGATTTGCAGTCTTGGCCGTGGTAGGCCATATTGTAGCCTGTACCTGCACCCATCCAGTAGTTTTTGGTTTTATCGCGATTAGGCAGACAGACAGACGTAGTGATGTAGTGATTATATATTACATTATAGATATAATTTGCCAGAACAACGTATTACTTATATATGTTAATGTATTAGAGATAACACGTTGTTCTGGCAAGCGGGCGATATAACATATCCATGTTTTATACATAGAAATGCACGAAAGTGTTTTAGGAAGATTATTGTTATACGATGCGGTGCAGTGCGGCCCACCATAATGTGCTTAAGCCTTTGGCATATTTAGGAACTTTATTTCTTCTTATCAGTTAATTTTTTGTCACGATTGGCCGCCCTAGGCCCGGGTCTACTGCGCCTTAGGGCAAATCCGCCACTGGGTAAAGCCGAAGCTTTAACTTTTCGAAAAAACAAAAAACACATACTTTAACATACATTTATTTTCCCTTTAAAAAGGCGCCTTGGCGACATTTAAACGCAACGCTTATTAGCATACAAGATACTAGTTCACTTCATTTCATAGGTCAACATATTCTACACATAATGGTGTTTTGTGGAAATAGAGTTATATGGACGCCTCGCCACTGATATTTTGTTTGAATGACAAAGGACGGAAAATAACAAAATATTATTTTGGATATAATTAGCACGGTTTGCTAGACGTTGCTTCGAATCCAGCAGGATCGAAAGAATTTTCTTTTAAGTTGTCGATCTCTGTATTAATCATTATAACAAACCAGTGGAGTAATTTTACAAAAAATAATTGAATATCAGGGTGGTGAAACATAATGACATTCAACTTGAACTACTTATTTATTATGGATTTACGTGTAGCAGATTTGGAGTGAATTTGTCTGTTGAACGTGAGGACCTAATTGATGTCCGGCTGAAGTTCGGACACAGTTATAGCTAATGCGAGTTGTAGAACTAAATAATAAAATCCACTTACCGTTTTCGTGTAAATAGCGTCTCTCCCTAGTGTTTGTGACATTTTTGTGATCTGTTCCGACATTTTCTGTAAATAAAAACACCGTAGTCAATAATTTATAAAAATTCTTAATTCACAATGAAAAAAAAAGCAAAAATGCATACTAACAGATCTGAGCCCAGATTGCAGATACTTGACGTCCTGCGAGATGAAGCAGGACAGCTGCAGGAAGGACTCTTTGGAGCGCGATGGAGGCTCGTCCGCCTCCGTGCACACCAGCTCCACGTCTAATGTACCGCCGAAGTACTGCTCTACGACCGACGACCTGACAAATGAACACAAGATGGTAACTGCTCTCTAAAGGCGTTTGCAAATTGTGTTCAATTCGAATCCGGGAACATATCGTCGGTGTTTTGTAGAAATGGCGCAAGCGCCATTTCGAAAGATTTTTCATGAGAGCATGTTTTAGTTTTTCACAAATGTTTTTAAATATATACGTCATGTTTTAAATTAAATTAATTAAAACCGAGACTGAATTATAAAACAGGACGAAAATATTTTAAAACACGTCGTTAAAATCTAAAACAAGCTCCCCTGAAAAATTTTACGAAATGGCGCCCTTTCTACAACACACCTACGACATACATAGGTCTTGAAAACTCGGATCAACCGACGTCGCTAGTGCGTTGAATCCGATCCGAGAACGTAGCGATATCACTTGTACACTTAGATGTTAAAAATTCTGGCCACTCTGATGCTGTAGTATAAAGCGTTTGAGTGGTTTCCTTAATTATGTGTCCTTTCAACCGTCACGGCATTGTTATTGTACATACGGAAACGCAGGAGAAATAAAGAGGTCACACATTCTACTGATGAACTGCCAAAGAAACATTTTGTAATAATCACGAACTAAGGCAACATAGCAATGTTCTATGCAATTATTACCAAATGTACAGACTCACTTATGATTTCATTTTATATGTATAGATATATGCACTTTCCCTCCATCCCCTGTTATTATTTTGATCCGCGAATATAAAGGTCCGAATTGAACATATTCTCTACATCGGAAACGAAATTCGGATTTATTTCTCATATGAATAGTGTTACGACCACTTATGACTGCCGTTTCATATTCATTTATTTGCATTTCACACGATCGTAGATTAATAAACTTACGCCTATGGTAGGTAGGTATATACATGTAACACCCCGTAAGAGCGTAGAAAAGTTACACTTACAATTTAAATACATTTTAAGCTTGAACGTAATTAGTTGATATATATATTATAGTTTTCTATAATTTATAATACATTATCAAAACATTTATAGCTTAAAATAAATTATAAGTACATTCAAACGTTGACATGTAAAAATAAATTATAATTTTAAAATATTAATCTGATATTTTTTTTATAATATCAATTGACGGGGCGAACAAGTCGTGCTCCTGATAGTAAGCTATATGCCTGTCCATAATGGTTGCAGTACCGCTCACGAGCTTAAAATCGAAAAGATCACAATGTCACTGCGCCCGTCACCATGAGATATCCAAACCCATGTGCCTGTAATTTTACCAGCACCCTTATCCTTCAAAAAGGTAAGGTGGCAATACTTCTCTGGACGAACTCTTTCACAAGGAGCCCTACTGCTACCGAATAACAACTAAATACTAAAATAGTTAACAGATAACCATTTGGTACTTTGTTTACAGCATAGATTTAGTATTTATAGCAGTGTCGAGAAATTGTGATATATTACAATAGTTATTTTTTAATAAAACTAACTGTTTGTCGAAGTCCATTCATTCTTCAAAATTTTTTGAAATAATTAGGGATGTGATTATATATTTTTATTAACATTGACACACGCACCGCGTTGCTATGATGCACGAAATCCCATCCCACCCTACAACGGAGCAGTCGAGGCCTACCTGTCGGCGCTGACGGAGCCGGGCGATGCGGGCAGGCGCTGCTGCAGCGCGCGCACGATCTCGGTCCAGCACTCGGAGGCGTCCTGCTGCGCCAGGCCGCCGCCCGGGCCGCGCTCGGCGAAGCGTGGCGCCGTGGCGTGCAGCGCGCGCAGCAGCCGCGCCGCTGCACCCGCGCACGCGCCCGCGCCGCCGCCGTCCAGCGCCGTCATCGTCTCGCTCAGCGCCGACGTCAGGTCGCCCGCCGTACCGCTGGTCGACGCTGATACTTTCCACTTTTAATACGAGGTACTGCCAGTAGCTAAATTCTAAATTACGCAATACTTGAAGAAACAATAAAAAATAGTATTGCAAACAAATAGTATATTCGGTCAAACCAAGTATAACTTATAGCCATAACAAATATTTTTTGACAATGAATCATAAAGGCACTTTAATTCTAAAATGCATAATTTAAATTAACAAAGAAAATATGGTTTGGTATGATGTAACAGACTGCTATCTGCAATGATGGTTGGGCTTTTATTTACACAATAAAGAATGTAATTATTTACTCCACTTCAGTTCAATAACTTTGTTTTATTTTGATTTTAAATACTTGGTTAATTTTGTTAGCGTTTATTTAGCCATAAGTATACAGTAGGTACTTTTCATTTGATGTTACCTTTTTTAATCTCTTAGAGAAATAACTTGGTTATGTTTTATTTAGATGTTTTAAAAAAGAATAGAAGCAAATATTAATAAAGTAACATTATTATTTACAACATGTTTTCTTATTTCTTTTTAATGTTATTAGGTATTCGGCTGAATAGTGATTCAAAATTTGGTATTCCGTCAAAAATAGAAGAACAGGCTGACCAGTAACAGAATATTCATTGCAACTCTATAAAGAATTTAAACATAATTATTATTGTAGTACCATAATTCACTAATTCTGACTACAAAAATATAATGTACAATTCAATAAGAAAATACTTCATATGACTTAAGGCAAGTAATAACTTAAAAATGTGCATAAACAACTTACATTTATCATAAGAGAGGAGTGCATTCTTCAACTCTGGCACAGTTTTGAGGCACTGGACTGTAGCATTCATGTAACAGGTATTACCTAAATTGATCAGACCCTCAGGCAGATCCAGCTGGAAGAAACCAATGGTACCAATTTAATTTGTGTTCTTTGGACATTTTTAAATTAAAAAAACCAACTTCAAATGAGCCAGAGACAGGTCTGTTTGAACAATATTTCAACTATTATATTTAATACAAGCTGTAGACACTCACAGCAGAGGCAAGCTCTGACTCATTCATGTCCTCAACGAATCTGGTCTGCTCCACTGGTGCAGCCGGTACATCCTCCTCTTTACTACCCATGACCAATACTAAGGCATTCTGCAAATAATAATAAATTAAATATTTACCAACATTTTTTTGGTGAAAACTTGGGTTCTTTTTTATAGATAAAATAAGTGTGCATCCATCTCACCTAATGGACAGTGACAATGAGGTTAATAATGAAACATGCACACATATAATGTCCTTTCACTGTTGTAAAGGTCCAAGTTATTTTTATTCTAAAAAGACTGAATAAGTGCATTGCGCAAAGTTTAATAAGTTTATCCTTATTTTACTGCACTACTATGGTACCAACAATTTAGAGAACTTTCCAGAAAACTTGTCTTCATCATTACATAGCTATAGAGCAGAATTTTCAAGAAATATCTTAGGATCAACTCACATTAGTCAACTTAAAATTGCCCCAGCTGTCATCCTTTAAAGTGATGCCCTTACAGACAACCTTCTGTCGTTCAGGCTGCACACCGGTGAGTGCGAAAATCTGCGCCTTGAACACCACAGGATCATCATCTGTGTTCACCTCCACACCAGGGTATAACTCCTTACCCCACTTTATCTTGACTAGGTGCATGGAAAAATAAAGATCATAACATTTACTGTTACTATCGTGGTCTATAGAGGTTGACACATGGTACTCATTTATGTACAGACAAAGATAGAAAAGCGTTCAAATTCTGTTTTGTTTCTTCTAAATAAAAATACATTTACATTTATGTTAGGTACGAAAATGTTTCACCAAATAACTCCCTGCATTACAAGAAGATTTCATACGTAAAATTAATAGTGCTACCGGTAATGATGGGCTGTAGTCCCCCAAAAACAATTTGTTTGTCGTATTTACATGCATGACATAGCAACAATTTTTCCCATATATAAGAAGTTAGAATTACTTTTATAGAATTATAACGGTTCTTAATTGTTTGAATAGGGTGTTATGCCATTTGAATAAAGGAAAATAATAAAATCTTCAACTATGCTGACATTTTAGAGGGTTCTAACCTAAAAATGTTTGAAATGCGCTAGCAATTTCTAAAGTCGATAAAAATTAGCGGACTCACTTGAAACTTTCGGCATTGTTCAATAATTATTCGAAGCAACACTAGTCTGTTAAAAACAGTAACAATTATCATTAATTTTCTAAGAAATGAAAGTCACGATTCGCATCCGTTCCGTGTCAACTTTTTGACATTTATTGACATATTGTATTTGAGTTTGCCATTTAATTTGTTTTCATTGCTAAATACGTGAAAATAATAAAGTCCATTCTCACAAAAAATCGAATAACCGCATTTTATAGGTTACACACAGTACATTATTTACTTTCGCCTAAATTTACGCCATTTATAAAAACCTAAACATGACCTGAACTTCTTAAATAAAGGTTTGTGGCAATAAATGATTCTTCACAATTATTAGAAAAAACAAAATGGCAACTCCATAATTCTTAGTAAACTTTTTTGAACAAAGAATAACGATATAAAATATTTTTGTTTTTGCAGTTCTTTTGTTTTTTCGTATTTAAAGTAATTTTTCTTTACGCTTCAATCCCTAGTTTCCTTTATTAATAGAGATGACATCGTTAGTAATTGTCACTAACTAATTACTTATATTCATTGCCTTATACATGTACGTAAATACGTACGTCATACATTATACATATAATTTAATGCTTTCGTAAAATAATAAAAAGTTTGGAAATGGCCTTCTGAAACTGTCCTCAATTGGTTACCTCATTAAAAAAGGTATTCCGTAAGTACTATTACTAGGTGCCAGTCACCAGTCTCAGCTAATACTCGTACAGGTAATATAAAAACATAGCTAACGTAGGTTCATATAATAAACATTTCGTAAATCAGTAGCAATGTATACTTACCGGTCTTCCAATTTTTGCATTCTTATGATTGACACCTCACTGTTAATGAATTTCCCGAGTGCTGCGCGACTTTTCTCACATGCTAGTGCGCGTCACACCTCGCGACGGCGCTGGCTCGTTCGATGAACTTTCTTCCAGTGAAGGCTGCGCCGGCGACCGCACCATCGAACGCCGGTCGTCAGTTGTCTCGCACCCCTCGCCGTGAAAAGACGCGTTCAACCATCGCTCAAGTGTTAGTTTCTCACGAAATAAAGCTCTCTCCGCCGTGAGTGCCATATTCGCATTGTGTTAAGTGAAAACGCGTGCAGTGAACATACAATTTGCTTTTTTTAATCACGGGATGCTAAACTTGTGTGCAATTAGACGGACGAAGCTTACAGTAAGTTTGTAACCTTTTGTGGTTTAAATCGCCTATAAGAATTAACTATATTGTGGTTGGGTATTATTTTTGCAGTCTTTCACTTCCAAGCACTCTTCCTGAAATCCGTTTAGAGAGAAAAATTTTACGTAATCAACGACGTGCCTATTTACTAAGGAATACATAAGTTAGGATATTTGAAATGTTCTAAGATTACATTTGTAGTATGTTTAAATATGAGAAGATTTCCGAAGTTATCTATCAGAATTGTAGAAAAATTTTAAATTTTTGTTCACTACAGAAGCCTATTATTGTTATATGTACAAAACTAATGTAATAACGATCTAAAGAAAGAATATTTTTTTAAATTAATAATAATTGTATCGTGTCACATTTAAACCTACTTGCGTACACAATAAGACATGGACATAAAACAACATCATCATAAACGCATTTAACACTATACAGACAGCAGAAAAGACATACGCTTGCTTACTTCTGATATTCTACTCCAATTAAAGTAGTAGTGTTATATATAATTACATAAAGAATATTTCCATCCATTCCGAGTGACCGCTAGAAATTGTACTTACCTACAATAGCCAAAATTGTTCTCATTGTATTAGTGCGTTAAAAGTATGTTAAAGCATAATTCTTTAGTTAGCGCTACGTGTTTGCGATCGTGTTGGTGATAAATGGAACTTGGTTATAGCGTAGCCGGTCAAGCGCGAATGCTGTTCACACGCTATAGCCACCTGGAAGGCCACACAATACGCGCTGTTAGATTTAGAAGATGTTTATTCTTATTATTGAGACAAAGATCGAGTAACAGAAAAAACATTACTTCGATCGGACTGGACACAAACCAGCGCCTGTTGCCACACCGGGGTCACCTCCCTGTCAAGTAGCTCAAATTTAAGTAGCTCAGTTGATAAGAGTTCGCTGGTTCGAATTCCGTCAGATCATAGGAATGTTTCTTTATATTGTTCGTCTATCAATAATAATAAAAACCTAGTGGAGTACTTTCACAACAAATAATTATATGAAAATCGTGGTAGTAAAAACATTATGACATTCAATGAAATAAATATTAAGATTTTTTTTATCTTGTTATATGCAACGCGAGTAAAAGTAGGAAGTATACACTAGGAATGAAACTATTTTTCCGGATTTAAATCGCGTATATTTGTTTTTTCAAACAAACCGACGTTTCGGGCCCTTTACAGGTCCCATGGTCACGGTTGACTGACCAGTCAACCGTACAGGTCACGCTCACACGCGGCGTCGGCTCAGGTCTTTGCGATTTAAAACTCTGAGTGGCACTGTAACTGTTATGGTTCTATATATATTATATAGAAAATAAAGCAGTCTGCTGCTCACGAAGGAGATTGTCCAGGGAAGTAGGTAGTTGGTACTACCGCCATACCTATTTCTCCGGCCAAGCAGTAATGTGAGTGTTACTGCATTCCAATTGAGAAGGGTTAGGGCTGTAAACTACATGCACGTGGGACTTGTCAACTTTATGTCTCAGGATGACAAGTACAGTGGCAGTATCCCTCGGGTCTTTGCAATTTAAAACTGTGAGTGGCATTGCAACTGCAACCCATAAGGATGGGTGTGCTTATCACCAGGCGCACGACTTGATCATCTTGTCAATTGAAATGTTAAAAAAAAACATTATTTTATTGCACTCTATCCAGCAATATCTTTTTTGTCTGCAATAGATAATATACCTTTTTGAAAAGTTAAGTGCGAGAAGCGGACTGGCAGTGTTCATCAATTCTTTGCAAATAAAGCTCTAAGTGACATGACACTTACTACCAAGCGCACGACTTGTTCGTCCCATCATTTGATATACATAATACGATAAATGATAATTTGATACGATAAAAAGAAATTAATGATTTGTTTAATTTAATTTGTAAATATCGAGTTCTTAGGTTTTCGCGATTGTTACACATAGGAAATGAATCGCCTATATTTGTTTTTTCAAACAAACCGTTGTTTCGGGCCCTTTACAGGTCCCATGTAATCCATCCCCGTACAGTCAACCGTGACCATGGGACCTGAAAAGAGCCCGAAAAGTCAGTTTGTTTCAAAAACGCGATTTAAATCCGGAAAAAAGTTTCATTTATAAAGCTATACCCAACCTATTAATTTGTAAAGCTATACCCAACAGAATAAATTTAATTTATCTGCTTATTTATCGCACATCTCTGGTGGAAAGGCAGCCTAATGCACCGACCCGGTGCCCGGTGGCGACAATGTGAAGCAACCCTCAAAATTTACCAACTAATTTCGTTGTTAGAATCTTAAAACCTGTCCTAAAAAGAAGTCATTTTGCAGATGTGGCCCTATTACACCAAGGATAGGATTTCTTGCCTCACTATCATGGATTGGAATTGAGGGAGCTAATTTAATTAAAGTAAAGAACAAAGGACATTCCCTTCTATAAATTCTCTACAAATAATTGATCATATTATGTATATACATGATATGGTAAGTAATTATTATTTCCTATTAAGTATTTGCTACAAATTATTATCCCAAAAAATATAGGTACTCGTATGTATTTAAATACTTTAGCCATTTAAAAAATAAACATGATACTACATATATTTTGGAATGTTTAGAAAAAAAGAGGACATTAAAAAAAATGAAATAAATTGTTTGAAGGAACGTATACTTTATTTAGTAGATAACAATGTTCTGTAGTATATTGCATTTCTATAAAGCGCCGCAGCCCGCCGCCGCGCCGCTTGCTGCAGCTTTTTCTTTTTTTTTTTCATTCGTTGCCTTATATTGTATAGAAATTTTATACGCATTGATGACGAAATGGGTATGTCCATACTAAGAAAATGTTCATACTTTAGGTAAATTAACTACCTCAGTTCCGATTACTGTTCTTTATGTATATTGTAGACCAATATGGTAACGGCACCTACTCGTTACATCTGGGTAATTTACACATGTTATTAATTTTATAGCTTCGAACGGCATTGTGTATTGTATTAGTTACTTTCATAACTACCTAATTGAACTATAAGGAAGGAGAGTGGTACACCGTAATAAGAATGTATTTGGTTATGGGCTACCTATTTATTACTAAACGATGTAAGCGTGGATTGGTATTAAATATTATAATATGCATAACAACAAGTTAAAATAAATATTGAATTTGAAGTAATTATCGAGTTCTTAGATTTTCGCGATCGTTATACATAGGAAATTAAACAATTTTTTCGGATCTATATTATCTCTTATATGTATTATCTGATTAATGTTTTAAATTGTTCTAATTAGCGTTAATAATGACATAAAATTTAGATTGTTAAAATAAAATAATTTGTAAAGCATATGTAGCGTAACAAACATTAAAATAGGTATATAATTAATAACTTTTGTAAAAAACAGTGAAAAATAGTTCAAATAATAGAGTAAATAATTGAATGAAAGGTTTGCATCAATGTTAGACATAAGTTATAACTTTACCTTCCCACCCGTGACCATAGGACCTGGAAAGAGCCCAAAACGTTGGTTTGTTTGAAAAAACCGATCCGGAAAAATAGTTTCATTTCCTATTCAAGTAATTGTTATAATTATTAATACAAAGATCGAGCACAGAAAAATTCCTTTAATGGAACAGGACTCGAACCTTCGTCCGTGCCAAACCAGGCCGACCGCACTAAGTACTGATCGAGTCAGCAGAACCTTATGATTTTTTTTAAGCGTTTGTTACATATTTTTTTTTGCGGATTTTTTGCCGTAGCGCCTCTATGAGAAATCTATGAAAGTTTTTGTTCACTCAACCACCATCCATTCAACAACAATGAATGTTTCAATTAAAATCTACATAATTGTTGCGAAAAGAAAATTAGATATAAATTGTGACTGTTATTTACTCACTTCTATTCTTCAAGGCCATGGTTTCTTAAAGTGGGCGCTGAACAGTCCTAGGTAGGCGCCTCGGAAGCAATTGGGGGGCATTAATACTGTCTACGAGGGCTGGGCGTGCTACCGCATTTGAAAAAATAATGTGAATTATCTGTATAAACTACATTACATATACATAATTTTTTTTGCTTGTGATTTTTTGTTTTAATATAAAAAAATAAGTGTTTTCAACTATTTTTGTGGTTGAGTTTTTTTTAAACACATATATAAAAATATATAAAAAATTAGGGCGGTGAGCCAAAAAATTTGGAAATCTGTTCTGGGCCTTTGGTGAAGGAAGTAGAATTCTACTAATTGAGTTAGATTACTTGTGACATCTTCTCTCTGTTGTACTAACATTTTAAACTCTTTTAACTCAAGTTCTTTAGAATTTAAACTAAGCTTTAAAGTTTATAGAATGATAATGAAAACTGGTTAAATTAACTGGTCGACTCGTCCAGGAAGTGCAACAAAGTGCCTGTGTGCCTGTCACGTAACGGACGTCCTTCAGCCACTACTTTATTGATCGCTACACCAGTGGGCTAACAACAGAGGGTTTTCGAATTTCGAAGCCTAAATGAGATTTATTTACTGTTTCTATTCATGCAGGTCACAAGAAATCCTTACGATTTGTTTTATGATATCAAGGGACGTGAGGAACAAATCGTGCACCTGGTAGCGAGCGCCACGCCTATACATGACAGTTTCAGTGTCACTCTTGAGTTTTAAATCGCAATAATCTGCCACTGCGCCCGCCCAGAGACACAAGTTTCAAGACAAGTCTCATTTGCCTATTATTTCCCCAGTACACTTACCATTCAAAACCGGAACGCAGTAACACTCACATTATTGCTTGACGGCAGATTTAACTGCCTACAACGCAGACCTAACACCCAGAGGACAATTCCCGGATCGGGAGAAATATTTGTATGGCCTATATCTACTTATTTGTCTCTTGAGTATAATTTGTAGTTGTCTATGTGCGTGTCTATGGCACCTACGACACAGGGTTTTCCTAGTGCGGGACTATAAAAAAAGAAAAACATAGGTAAGGAGGCAGTACTTCCCTGGACGAACTCTTTCACAAG